ATGTCTTGCTTTTTTGCTACGCAGGCGAGACAAAAAATGGCTCAAACTAATTCTAGATCATCAATAGGTTGGTAATTTGAACAAACTAAAAAAAATTGCTAGTAATGACATTTACTGTTTACCAAAACGTTGGTGTGTAACGTATACAGACCATACGCCACAACTACATAGTGTGTATAGAAATGGATACATGTCGCTGACTTCAACATGAATCTAGTATTGGGACCCATTTTAACCACATTGTAAACGGAGATCAGGGAAATAAATGGTAAGAAGTCAGAAATGTGTATAGTCACTTGACTTTATTTCCTAAACAAGTTATTCATAAGGCAAAATGGAAGTGTACACTTCCATTTGAAGTGTACACTTCCATTTGAAGTGTACACTTCACTTCCATGGAAGTGAACAATTCCTAAATCCTACCAGGCGTTGTTGTAGTAGTAATTGTAGACAGGGTGGTAGTCTGTGATGAGGTAGGGGTAGTCTCCCAGCTTGATGTGGAAGGGGTAGTCACAGCTGCTATTCGTGTCCTGTATCCGGTAGTTTCTGTGGCATGAGTGCAGCAAGAATGGGACAAAACAATTAGAGAAATGTCAGTTGACATTCTATGTCAACACATATTAAAAATATAGGAATTAGACAATGCGAAGTCCCATCGTTCCAATATACAAAACCTCATGAATGCAACCGGCTAAAATGATGTCCGAAAACTTGACTCCTTTTGCAGACACGTCAATATCAAGGGTATTATGAGTTTATTTCTTAATTGCTGACGTTGTATTAGGTCATTTCCGGAGGACGAAATATTCTGCTTATAAAGTGAAATTGTGATTATATACAATGTATTCCGTCCCAACTCTATAGAAGGAAAAACCGCATTAACAGCTTAATGTTGAATGGCCGTCTTCTTTCAAGTTAGAGATTTTTTTCTGGAGAAGCGCATTGTCATGTAGAGTACCACAGGTAATGCACAAAATGTGATTGTTCATTTGCACACACACACACACACACGCACACACACACACATCCTGTCCATATTTAAGAGACTGTTCTATGATCGGTCTGTGTCTCAAAGTGTTTTACGTTAGTTCACATCAATTCGAATTGAGAATGAAACAATCGACTTGTGTACGTACCCGTGTCTTTATTTACAGTTGGTTCTGTTGAATGAGAAAGGAGGGGAATGGCCATTCGTTTTAAAAGTGATATATCGATTTAAAATGATCTTCAACGTAAATGAAGGACCGTTGATAGATAATCAAAATCTGGCCCTACTTTCACTCTCGCTATCCTTTTTAGTTTAGTTCCAACAAAAAGTTGAATATAACTATGAATCTTTGTAACATTTTGAACATAGAGTGTACAATCTGGACATGAACAAATTTGAAAGTGGTGGTATAATGATTTACATTCACAGTAACAAAAAGGAAACAGTGAATTCGTTGTTGCGGTTACTTGAGCAGGTTGAGTTCTGTATGGGAAGAGGTGAAAAATAATTTGTGCGCCTTATTATTGTATTATGCAAGTGTGAAAGAACATCAGAGAAAAAATGTTTCTTGAATAGCACGGCTCTTCAAATGCCTTAATATTCTAAATATGGCATGTAACATCATAAAAATCGGAACGGATTTGTATGCCACATGTTCGTGTAGTCCCATATACATCTTTCCGTGTACAGTGCTTGTAACTTTACCGAGACCGGGCCAGTTTTCTTATAATTTTGATGATTCCAGAACCTTGCAAGACACACCAATACTTATATGCTAGATGATCCACATTTTCTGATCGATTCCACAACGTTTCTTTTCTCCCAACGCAACCGCATGACCGTCATCTTTATACAGCTTAAGCCGGAGACCAAGAGCTTCCAACACCTGTTTTATTCAACATATACAATTGTATATTCTGTACGTTGCCTTATTGGGTGGTATTTTGTCCGAGTCCTGATCTGTACTATCAAGCCAGCATTTATGCTAATCCCGATGTACTTCTCAAATATAGACAGATCATGTTTATCATCCTCACAAATACATATAGAGTCCACTTTATCACGATAATAATGTCGCCGTTGAAAAAAATTATGTAATCATAAAATACATTAATATGCATACCTGACATGGCACACACACTCCGGAATAAAAACACGGTGATAACCACAGCAAGGCCCTTCATCTTGTAAGATTATCTAAATGTTCTGCCTTGTGAACATTAATGGAACGAGCTAGGCCTCTTAGTCTTGAAGAACGAATACGGAGAAGAGCGGCGAAACTGACAATAGACCAACCTTCACATTCTGTTAAATTTGTTCCCTCTATCATAACATTAATTTGAGCTGGACGACAATATATCACACCTCAACACAATAAACTTGTGTGGTTACTTATTTGTATATATAATGGAACCAAAAACATATCGTGAGAAAAGAGTGACTTGTACAGTCTCTTAAATTGTTTCCCTGTATCATAACATTAATTTGAAATGGACGACAATATATCATACCAGAACACAATAAACTTTTTTTTTGTTTTTTGTTGTTGGAGATAATATGAAATGAAATTGTGTGAGAAAAGAGTGACGTGTACAGCTCTGTTTCAAAAAGAGGTGTTTTTACAAGGTTCGAATCCTCAACCCGGATAGAACCCTTCGTTTTCGATAAATACTATAAACACTTAGAATAAAACGTAGGCCTACACTGCATTTACGTCAATGTCTTGTAGTTATGATTATGCATTTGCACAATGTAGTGATTTATTTAATATGAGTTGTTTTACAGTATAATATTCTTATTTCATATTTCGTCAATTGCATATGACGTTGGGGCTCAGAAAGATAATCTCTAAAAAAAATACTTTTTTTTCTTTCTTCAATGAAACAGACACATGATTGAATGAAATGGAACATCTCATAAAATAACATTCAGTAAGATTTCAATTATACTATACAGAACTATTCTATTTTTTCTTATGGAATTCAAAACGGTTGAGTGTAAATGATATTATGCGTTCTGTTTTTTCTAAATGTATTACAGAGCATAGAAAGAATTTAATTAAAGTAACGATGTCTTGACATTTACATGAAAAGATAAAATATTTGTCATAGTTTTTACCAGATACAAGTGTTCTCTAACTGATGTTCCAAAGCAAATGTCTATACGTGATAATCTAATGAGTCGGATCTTTTTAGAAAACAGCCAACTGTGCAGATCATTCCAGAATCTTGAGACAAAGAGGCAATCAAAAAATAAATGAATTATTGTTTGTTCATTTTGATTACAAAATTTACATATATTTTTATCAAAAATTCCGATTTTATACAAAAAGGAATTCATAGCAATTTTCCTATGAATAAATTTGAATTGAAAATTTCTCAATTTGTTATCTATTGATGATTTATATATTAAATTAAAACGAGCCCTCCATATTTCGTCATCCGATAATTGTAGTGACAGATCATTTTCCCATTTGAGTTGTTGATATATATATATATATATATATATAAATATATTATGGCGGGAACATTTGATATGAATCTGACTCGAAATCCCCTCAATAGCAAACACACACACACACTCACACACCACCCCACACAAAAACACACACGCATGCAAACTTTCTCTCTCTGTCTCTTAATTGTACCTCTCTTCATTGCTCTATATTTCTTTTTATCGTTTCACCCTGTATCTCGATCTCCCTTCGGTTTTTGCCTGCCATTCGCACTTTGCACTGTATTTAATTCATCTTGCACATTTATGTCTCTACATACATAAGCCTGTTCTTTCAAAACTCACTCTCATTGCCATCCTGTCAATGTCCCCTCCCTTTCCCACCATTTCATAAGGGGGAATACCACGTGATAATAAAATAATTCCCTGCAATATTAGTGTGTTAATTGATGTTATTATTCTGTATAATTGTAGCAGAATTCAGTAGAAGTTATGTTAGTAGCAACAGTTTTAGTAGTAGAGGTATTATGGTATGGCAAGGAGAGGTGGGGAAATAAGACAAAAAGGAAGGAGAAGAAGGAGGGGATGAGAACGAGGAGGAGGGGGAGGGGAAGAAGAAGAAGAGGAGGTATTAGTTATAGTAATTGTACTAGTATAGTACAATCATGTAGGATGTACCCCCACACTGAATGTATTCCGATTGGGACGAAAGTTTGCCAATGGGAGAGGTACTTTCATGCTTGTATTAAACCAGCTTAATGTCATGTTAGATTTCCCTTTTAACTGCTATAATTAATATGTTTATTGCTTCACCTGTAAACGCATATCATAATTGAAGTACCTTCCACATTCACATAAAAACTGTATTTGAACTTGATGGACGTCATGTAAAAAAAAATTAATATCACACAAGTAATAACATGTACTAGGCCATACACAAATACAAACAAAAATAAAATTGCATATCAACATGTTAATTTTTTATTTGAGAAATGCAGTGTATATATGCGATTTATTTCAAATTTGCTCACAACATAACTAGTGAAGAAAGAAAAATGTTGAATTGCACAGGACAACATTATTCACATTATGACACGAAGGTATTCAATTTATATGATTAATTCTTATTTTATCATTTATAATATTTTTGAATGAATACTAAGTTATATAATTTTAGGTCATTAAGATTGCTGATCAGTTTTCTATTAAGAAATTCTAATTTCCAGGGCTGGAGAACGATTTTTACAGGCTTATTTTAAATGATCAGTTTTTTTTCTCCCCTGGAGGCAGTCTATTATATGATTCCCCGAACACACACAAAATAATTATAACAACTATGATTTTGAAATACGCCCCTATTTGTTGGAAAATTATTTCAATGCACTGCTCTAGTACAAACAAGTGAAATGTTGATTGCTAAACACCTCTCCCTCCTTATTATCATTTGAAGGAAGCTCGACGTGTAGAAAGAACCAATTTCAAACGTTTTTAGATCGAGGATAGTGTTAAAGTAATGTATTATCTAGGCCTGTATTTTTTTTTTTTTTTTTTTTTTTTTTTTTTTTTTTTGGGGGGGGTATCAATAACGACCGAACCAGATCAATGACAAATCCTCTCATTGCCAATCACGTGTACAGATGTCATTAGATAATAACAAGTATCGTATCCTGATATTGATAAGTTTTATGAAACTGGGCTTTGGATCTATGACACCAAAACATTACCAAGTTTAAGTATCATGGATTCTTTGAACACTTAAACCGACAAAAAACTTTTATTTATAGATTATCACAGCACTGAATAACTGTCAACGTGAAAAGAGCCTCGAAGATTAATTCATGAATAGATCCTTTTATTTTGTATAGAATCGAAAAGAGAACATTCAGGCTCTGATGTTGTAAGAACCCATTTCTAATCTTTATGAATGCATTCACATAAACTCTCCCTAACATTCTAAATCATTTTGCAGATTATATAAAGTCCATAACAATTACGTTAACTCAACATCTTTATTTCGTTTATTATTTTACTACACTTTTTCAAGCATGCTCTTAATACAGGGCCAATATTTTAAGAGTACTTCTGAGTATATAATTCTTATGTACATGAATAAAAAACTAAATTTCGTTTAATGTCCACATTGATGTTCTGAGTCTCCTCCAGGATGTGTTCTACGAAAATCAATTTCATTCATCATAACGGTTTCGGGTGTCAACCACTCAAGCAGGGTGGTGAAAGAACGGCCCCTTCCTTTTACGACGCCTGAATGATAGAATCAGATAGGAAAGCATTATAAATTGCATGAGCCTAGCTAAACGAATGTTATTGCCATTATTAATAGCACTTTACGAGAATGATATAACTCATTTGTATCAACCAAACAAACTTGCTATATAAGTTTGTATATGTACTATTATAGGAGCTTCGATGACTCAAGTTTTTTCTCATGACGTTCACCTATTTTCATGATTTACTCAATCTTCTTCCACGAGGAATGAATCTGAAGTCTTTTTCTTCTCAAGTGATTAACTAACTTTTTACTCCCCTAATGACTTGAATGAAACTATGCTCTAATAGCTACTGTGTCCCGGGGAGGAGGAGATGAATGCAAAAATGGTTATGATTTGTGTTGGAAAATCCCGACAAATGACCCCCACTTTTTATATCTTACCCTACATGGGTTGATAATTTTCATCATATTTGTACCCCATCCATATTCTCTCTAAAGTGTAAATTTCACATATCGATTGAAATCATTTCACTTTTTCCATCCAAATTCCTGATCACGGGTACCCATTTCTTCTAAAATGACCCTTAAAGTGGTTATGTGTTGAGAGATTTTACCACACACCCTTTCAAACCAAATCTGAGCACCCTCCCCCCCCCCCCCCCCCCCCCCCCCCACCGGACCGCGCCTGGAGTATTAAAGTAACAAAAGATGTCCCTATGTTTTCAACGGATACTTGTTCAACTCCAGACCCAGTATAACTTAATTTCATTTTAAAACAATCCTAAAAGCTGGATAGATGACTTACTTGCGTTCTGCCTTTTGAGGTGAAGGGTTGTTCCCTTGAGGAGGAGAAAGGGGAGGAAGAGATGTGTTTTCGATCGATCCAGGCCTTTGAAAGTAAACATTAGGAACTGAAGCAGCAAGGCGGTACATCAACTGTAAATGATGAGACAACATTAGAAGTTTAGCTTCTGGTTGTCACATACATATTCATATACAAGACCATTTTGTAATACGAAAGATAAATTTGCTTTTGGCAGCCATAAATAAACACACAATCAAATTTCCTTCTTCTATAAATACTCTGACCAATCTTAAATAGTGAATAACAAATCAGAAGTTGGAAGTTGTTATTATTCCTTATTTTCTAACATTACCAAACTCTATGCAACAAAATTCATCAACTTAATTGGTGATTAACATTAATTATGTAGTACTCAAAATTTACAAAATATTACATTCACCAATGCATGTCTATAGTCAGAGTACACCGTTGCCTAAGCCTACTAGACGCGTTACAAGTTTGGATAAATACTCGAGCTTGTCCGGCCTATAAAGAAACAACGACGTTAGCAACCGTTTACGTCTGTAATGTGCATCCGCAAAGAGATTTGATCATACACAGTATGTCCTCCGGCTATTTAAAGTCAATACAACATAACAAGTGAATATAATACGTGTCACCTGGCACTCATGTGTTAATGTAAATGCAATTCAAAGATGGTTTATCCATCAGTTCTTACATCATCAGTCCCGTAGTCTTCAGGCCTAGCCGTGATTTTACGTCTCATGTGTCCCTGATTATGGAAACGTGCGAAGACAATACAAATACCGATCACTACGATGATTATGAGTAACAGAACGGCTGCAACAATCCCGGCGATCAGACCAATGTTGACCTCTTCAGATACTGAGAAAAGAAATGAGAAAGTTCGTAAAATACGTTAGTTTTTTAATTTTAAAAACACTTGGAAGAAATGGATTCAAATCAGTTTCATCGAGCGGATATGAACTAAAATGACAGTCAACATTGTGTCAGTGACCTGTACAAAGTTGTAAGATACTGCGTTTTGAGGAAGAAAAGTACTCTGTGATATGAAAAAAAACAGTTGACAAAAAGAAATAAAACGAACATAGAGAATTATACATGTAACTGCTATACTTTAGGTGTAAATAAACTCATGATGAACTTATTTCAGTACTTATTTAAGTACTTCCTACTAACTTGGACGAAAGATAATGAGAAATAAATAATTTTGTAGATAACTTACCCCTGTTTTACGTCTTATCCCATACATTGACAAAATTATGAGAAAGAAAAATTCTGTACATAAGTTTACCCCAAATTTCAAATATTTCCCCTTACATGATTATGAGAAAGTAATTATGTATACAACTTACCTGCTCCACCGGTTTGAACTGGCATACGTGTCGTTGCATCCGCATCTGTCATGGATGCAGGACATTTTTAAAAAAGGAAAAAGAAAGATGACAAAATTATGACAGAGTATTAAGTCTCCCCAAAGTCTTCTTTTTAATGAATCATCCCCCTTTTAAAATACAAATAGCATTGTACCTCTTACGAAATTATAACATTTATATCAGCATCGATCAATTCACATGCATTTATCAAAGAAGGGACATATACAACGAAATAAAAAAAAATTATGCACTGATATTTCCCGTGAAATCATCAAATTAACTAAGTCCACAAATGCCAAGCGTCGGTTACATGTCGTATTTCCGGAGCCCCATAATTTTGAAGGTTCGTTGATCCAAAATAACGTTCATTAAGCCAATGTACGAAACTGTACTGCTCTATGGATCAGAAGCCTGGACATTGACGAATAGCCTGGAAAACAACTGGATGGTTGCTATACAACACTCTTGAGAGCAGCACTAAATGTCAACTGGAGTGACCATATGACCAATATTGAACTGTATAGGGACATTACACCGATCTCAGCCAGACTGAAAGACCGTCGCCTCCGTTTCAGTGGGCACTGCTCCGGGCACTGCTGGAGGAGCAAGAGTGAAATCATTTCACAAATGCTCTTCTGGGAGCCCTCAAGGGGCAAACGCACCAGAGGGCGCCCAGCAATGACTTACATTGACCAGTTAGAAAAAGACACCTGTCTACCAAGACAGGAGCTCCCAAAGATCATGGAGAATAGAACTGAATGGAAAAAACTTGTCAAATCAGTACGAGTACGCTTGATAACTAGTAGTACGTAATTCCGAAAATGAAAAATAACCTATTTCCGTTTTTTTTTAAATAAACATTACGGCCTTCAGATTAATTAACGACACTTTGGAACACTGATCATTTGGAATAAAGCAACATATTTGCGGTATTACGTGGTGCCCTGTGGTATACCACGCGGTATGGAAAATTTGCGTTTCGGAAACACCATAGCCTCTTGTCGATGGCCCTCGCTTTGTTGGAGTCCGTAAATTCTGGCGAGCGAAGCGAGTCAGAACCAAGCGCTCTGACTCGCTTCGCTCGCCAGAATTTACGGACTCCAACAACGCGAGGGCCATAGACAAGAGGCTAGAAACACCAGTGGGTTGCGGAATCATCAACCTGGAGATTGACGATTTTGGGAGGATAACGAATGCCAGCTCCCCATCCCCACGGTTATCGTAATCTTCTCGTGTGCGTACATGTGTGGTGTGTTGAAGAAAGAAAATACATACCTGTGCTAGTAACTGAATCCCCTGGTATCTCAAGCCGAAAGGAGCCGTCACTGACCGTGTTATCATTGTCACCGAGGTAAGATCGGAGTGCTGCTAGGATAGTATTCTCATCACCAACGAAGTCCGCACTGACAGGTACCCTACATTCCGCGCCCAAACTACCGGAGAAGAAACGCTGTACCCCGACGTTGATGATTCCTCGAATTCCTTGGGCAAGTAAAACCCGAGGAAGCTGTAAGATGGAAGTATGATATGGATGTTTAACAGTTCTTATAATGATAATGATAGTGATAATATTAATAATAATCATAATAATGATAATAAGGGTAATGATAGTAATAATGAGAATACTTATATTGACAATAGAGGATTTTGTATAGCGCTCATAAAGAGTGGTGAAGTATGACGTCATCAAAAAATCTATTTTTAGAATTTCTCAAAAATTTTTCCTTCATTTTCCAAAAGACCATCAACAATAATGTCTGATGGGAATTCAGTGTTATAATGATCTGGTTCATAACATTAGGGTCTAGAGCACTTGGCTGATTTCCCATAAGACATATATTTATTTGATGCTCTTTTGGAAAATGAAGACAAAAATTGAGAAATTCTAAAAATAGATTTGTATGATGTCACAGCTTCGGTACTCTGCCCCACAATTATTACCCCGGCTTCATGTTATCATAATGTCGTGAAAAGTGATGGTGTTATTAACTCGTGAACATTTGTGATATCAGATGAAACTCCTGTTCAGTGCCATGGATTTGAAAACAGTTCTCTAGTCAGTGAGTTTTTTCAAGAACACAAACTTCGACTAAGCAAATCGAATAATAGACAAAACATAACTTACCAGGTTACTAACTGCAACTGATGCCGCTTGGTATTCCTGGCTTTGCTCGTTTGAAAACTGCACGTTAAAGTCTACGGCTGAGATTCCGATTTCTGAAATTACGAATCTGATGAAAAACTCTTGAGCTCCTAAAGAAACAAAAGAAACGATTGGTAATTAATGAGTTGCTCTGAATTTATATCATTTGGAATAAGTTGCTAGTTTGACGCATGATTCAGGTGGAATATAATGAAGACATTTCAGGGAATTCAGATACAACACAAAATATGCATATGTATCTGTTTAATTAATACCAATAAAAATCGTCATAATTTGACTCATCTTTTTCGCAAGGGAACAGGATTGTAGATCTACTGCACTAGCAATAATCATAGAACAAATATAGTTCATTGAATAGGTACAGTGGCGTACGCAGGATTTTTTCAAGGGGGGGGGGGTTAACGTTTTGAAATCAGTCCGAAAATTTTGCAACGACTCAGCCAGCCGCTGAATAAGCAGGGGGGGGGGAGCAAGGAGGACACTTTTTTTTGGGGGGGGGGAGGGGGTCTCAAAAAAATCGAAACGACTTAGCCAACCGCTGAATTAAGCGGGGGGGGGGGGGGGTAAGAGGACACTATTTTTTTTTTTTGGTCTCGAAATTTGAAAATTTGACATTTTCCTTCGTTGGGGGGGGGGGGGTAAGGTCACCTTTTTTAGGTCAGCCATGGGCATGATTTTTTTGTTTTTAATAATTTTAAAAAAAAAATTAAAAAAATGGGGGGTAAAAATACCGAAGGGGGTTCAACCCCCCCCCCCCCCCCCCCCTGCGTACGCGCCTGAATAGGTTTGATGGATTCTCTACACATAGCGTGTTAATATCATTCAGTTACATGAGTGTAATTATGGAAAAAGACATATGAGATATTGTCATAGCCAGGTAAAGCTTGTTTTTCAGGAACGTCTTTTTAAAGATCTGTGTTCTCTTTCTACGCATTACAGTTCATGGCATATCGGTTTTATACTACGAATCCTGTTTCTGGACGAAATTTTCTTACTTGTCAAACACTGATTAGTCAAATAACTACGGTCTCTGCTTGCTCTGCATTCACACGTATGGCTAACGGTGGTTGTCTGTATGCATGTCTCCCTCGATACTTCACATGATGGGGAACATTGGTCTGAGAAAATGAACAAATATTAGTCAGAATTAACACTATATCTTCAACCATGGATCAATGCAGAACAAAAATGGCTTATTTACGAATATATGATAATGACAATAAAAAGTATAATGTCAATAAATTCGATATTGAGCACAAACATTCCGTACTGCTAAATGGTCATAATTAATACCAATAATAAAGGAGAAGTACACCTAGAAATAAATTTAGAGACTCTTGAAATGGGCATGATTTTGTTTTAATGCACTTTTTAAAAACTTGAAATGTCTACCTCTGCATGAACCTAGGAATAGTTCAGTTCCCTCTGGGCATGTACATTGGCCATTGGAACATACTTGAGAGATATGGCAGGTACTGGTCCCACAACGAAGATCTGTAGAGGAATTTATATGATTAAGTTTAAAAAAACAGATAGTGAAGACATACCGGTCATACAAATATACCATAATATAACTTTACTTCAATTTACATACTTGTTATCGTTACTCTGGACAGAGTATTTGAAGAGAGAGTGAAAAGAGAAACATTAGCAACTCCACCTAGGGGATAAAGGAGTTTCCTTAAGTTTTAATTTGATAAAGAACTTGGTTTTATTGATGGTAATGATGTAAACAATTCAAGAATTTCACTTCCTTTTCTCCTTTCCCCCTCTCTTGTTATATATGATATATATGTTGCATGCGTTTGGAAACCCTGCCAAAGACACAATTGTATGTCATATTAGAAAGAGCCATACATGGACCTGGATTGAAAGTTTCTTCAAAGTTTTAGAAAGGTAATGATAGTTTACAAATAATGATTAAAAAAACATTACCATGGTCTCTACATAAATATCAATATATCACAAAATGTCCGCTGAAGATGTCGAACACTCCTTTGTAGATGGAGTATTGAACAAGTCAATATTATTTTATTTATTTATTTAATAACATTTCAACAGGGAAACCCCGTCAGTTGATGAAATACTGGTCGTATACTCAAACTATTCTGAAGAACGTTTGTAAGAGTGCATTTCCTCTAATAATTTCCTGAATAAATTTGGTAATTTGTCTTAGTAAGATATCACAGCGGCTTACCTATTTCACAAGCTGGTCCAGCAAAAGAAGTTGAACAGTTACAGACAGGCTCTGTCGTCCCGACGGAACAGGTGCCCGAATTCCGACATGAAATGATTGAACACTGCCTAACTCGTGCTGGTTTGCATGGAAACAAAACAAAAGTAAGGTGAGAGTACAAATGGGGATTACTCGTTTTCTTCGGTGGTTCATAATTAAAAAAACACAAAGCTCCCATACCAGCGGGTACATTCCGAAAAAGAAATAAGGTCCATAATTTCCGACAGCTGATGCAATACTCCGAAGGTTCAGAGGTTTGTAATTACGAACCCCCGGAACTAAGAACCTTCAAAAAAACAAAATGTAATCGTACAAACACATGAGGATTCATATGTTTATGAAGAACACTATAGCCCATATGAACCATATACGTATATACAGCATGTGTTAACTTTCTGAACTGTTTTTATTTAGCGATCTCTATGCTCCGCATGGTGTATAGGCAACTTAAAATAGACGTTGTATCATACAATGTGCTGCGCTTTTCTCAGCTGCCAATCGTGTATTAAAATGTGTGCAGCCTGAAACATGCTAAATCATTTCATCTTCCTTCGAAATAGATGTTCTAGTTCACCAATTTTAGTGTCTAGCACCGGCAAGTTATGGCGCGAGATGTTTTGAAAAGTGAGGTTACACAGGAATTCATAATTTCGTGTACTGTATAAAATGACTACACCGTGACACTTAAGATGTCGCCTTACCTTGGCAGCCCCCATCAGTGGCCAATTCATATCCTTCGTTGCAGACACACAAAAATGAGCCAATGGTGTTCAGGCAGAAGCTATTGACATCACTACAAGCTGTGCTACTACTGCACTCATTGATATCTATAAGAAAAGGAATTTAGCAATAATTAATTCCCAATAACATTTTGCACTGAGCAGTAACTGTCCAAAAAGAAATGACCTTGTTGCTTTTTTAAGGTGGACTGAACAAACACATTTGAGTTCTTTTTTAAATTTTAATTTACTCATTTATTTTACATGATTGAATGTATACAGATAGCAACAAATATAACAAAATGGAGATATTATATCTGGAAAAAAATATTATAAGCATTGCAATATTGAAGTTACATTATTGACAATTAAACAAATTTGAATGTTTGATCATTATTGAAGGTAATCCTATTTTTATGGGACATGTGAAAATGAGAGGCTTATTGAAAAACTTGGTTTCTATTGGTAAGCCCCTCTTACAACTTAAATACGTCTTAATGTAATTTGGTTGAGTAATTAACATTAAATTATGAAGGTGTATGGTTTTTCAAATGTTTGAAAAGAAGTATTGCTTCGTGCAAAGATAATGCAGTAAAGAGACACACAAGTTGTATACGTTGTACATGAGTAACACATGCTCTATAAAGAGGGGCTTGGGGAGTTTGAGCTCACGCCTGTTTGTATTGAACTTACTGATGCATATACATGGATTCCACGCCAATCAATTACTTTACATAACCACATATAAAAATGTCGATGCCGATAAAATAATAATGAGGAATTATAAAAATGACAATAATAAGAATAACATTCCATACAAATGAAATGTTAATATAAAACTTGGACAACCCGAAGTTCTGCACTTATCCTCTCCCTCTCCCTTCGAAATGCAACTTACCTGTGACTACAGTCACGCAATTTCGTCCCGGTAGTGTGTTTGGGTAGAGATCAAGAAACCCCTGTCGGCAATCACAGGTATACCCGACTCCAGTTTCATCATTGATGCAGATACTATTAATTGAACAGTCGTTGGAGGCGCTGTCGGCACATTCATTGACTACTGTTGTTTCTGGAGACAAGATTTTGATATAAAGAAAATAGTTACAGAATAATATTTACGCTACTCTGTGAGGTGGAATTAAATGGACAATAATATCTTTTTATTTATTTATTTATTCGGTTTAAAAACATCAACACGTAAAGTTCAGGAACTCATAATGGTTGATTTACAATGAAATTGAATAGTATAAACAAAATTGAACCAACAAATATACACTTAAGAAGAACATATTATTTCACACACATACAAATGTGATTGCAATACAATATACAACGGCTGGCTAGATGTGGCTAGACCAAGGCGAGATATGACAAGGAAATCGAAAAGAAGATAAATGACAAAAGAGAGAGAGTGAGAGAGAGAGAAAGAGAGAAGAAGAAGTGGTGAGAGAGAAAGAGAGAGGGACAAGAAAGGGAAGGGTAGAAAGAAAAAGAGAGAAGGTAGGGGGAAAGAGAGGGGGAGGGGAGATACGGAGGGGAAGTGAGGGAGAGAGAAGGAAGAGAGAGGAAGAGAGAGGGAGAGAGAGGAAGGTAGAAAGAGAGAGAAGAGAGGCAGGGAGAGAGTGAGGTATAGAAAGAGAGAGCGAGAGAGAGGAGAGAGAAGAGAGAGAAAAGAGGGGGAGAGAGAAGGGGATAGAAGAGAGAGAGAGGGAGGAGAGAAAAGGAGAGACATGGAGAGGGAGAGAGAGAAAGGGGAGAGATCTTTAAAAGGCAAAATAAGAAACAAGGTAGATAAACGTAGCATTAAAACATTAATACATTTCTTATACACATCTACACAGGAGAAGGCGCACCGGAGCGTTCTGAGAAGACAACAATGGATTGGCCTGCAACGCATCGTCGCGTCCGCTCCGAAGGCCACGGTGCGCCTGCACATGATGGTCAACATTTCAGCATTTTCAAGAAATTTAGAGTAGCTAAAATGTACAGGCAATTTGGCAGTAAATAGCAAAATATAATCAATACCCTTCCCGACAATGTTGTGCAAAACATGTAAAGCTAATTGTTAAAGAGTTGACACCTCTATTAATTAATGGCAAAACCCGCATTTCTTCAATATTCTGGATCAGAAAAATACAGCTATAATAAAGTATTGCACCTTGTAGTGGTTCTAAGAGTCACAACATGTGAAGCTAATTGCTAAGTTGACACCTCTATTAATGGAAAACCCGCATACCTTCAAATTATTTAACAAATCAGAAAATACGGCTATAATAAAGTATTGCACCTTGTACATGTATCAGGTCTAAAGATTCACAACATGTGAAGCTAATTATCAGGAGAGGTTGACACCTCTATTAATGGGAAAAACCCGCAAATCTTCAATATTATGAATCATGTATTAGAAAATACAGCTTTAATGAAGTATTGCACGTTGTTTCCGATCTAAAGAGTACCGGTACATGAAATACAATTCAATTTTTTGGAATTCACATTAGGTTATTGAGAGTCTTAATGACTTGGGGTAGAGGAGACTTTTTATAGCGTTGGGTACGACACATCGGTTCTAGAAACCCATCCTTCGATCTTAGGGGACGATAATTAGGTAGGGTGCTTCGGAGAGGTGGGAGCATCGAACTGTGCCTAATAATAGGGCCCCTTCAACACCTTTGCCTGAATCGACTGCCTTGATAATTTGTATTCCATCCATCACGTAAGACTAGTGCCCACCTCCCTCTCCCTCCCTCATCCGGCCATCGCCAGTTCTCTCTGGAAAGCTGAACCCACGCCATGGTACAAATGAAATTGTAAGTAGCGAAAAAAAGTCTTGTTTACCTTCAGCCTGTATTTGTGGTTGTATTTCAAGTTGATGAGTTCCATCGTCAATATTATTAAGATTGCTGCTCAGGTAGGAAGCGATGGCGTCTCTGATGGTATTAGCATCACCCGTGAATTCATCGCTAACAGGAATATTGACCTCTGCCATCAAGCTTCCTAGGAAAAAACGTCCTACTCCAACATTGATGATACCCCGAACTCCTTGGGCTAGCAAAATTTGTGGCAACTGAAAAGGGGGCAAGGAAATATGATCGTAATTAGTGTTGGAAAGAATCAAAGGGATATTCCAATTAAGTCGTGAGTAAATATCAGAGTAATGGGTATGTACCTTGAATAATTACTTCGCATCCTGAATATCAATTTAGCAGTATTAACCTTCATCCTTTAATCGACTAATATGTACCTTTGTTTTATCGACGCATTTAAAATCTCATTTTGCCCTAATAATTCCATCATGACCATAATTCGAGAAACCCATTCAAAATGTCTCGAAACACATTGAAAAGAACTAGAAAGAATCAATATAATGTTGTTATTGGTGTATTAACTTACAAGATTTTGGATTGCAGAAGCTGCTGCTATGTATTCCGCACTTTGCTGGTTTGCATAATTCGGATTGAAGTCTACGGGCTGCAATCCGATTCGAGTAATTGCAAACCTGACAATAAACATCCGTACTCCTAGGAAAAAAAATGATTGAAAACAATAACACTTTGCATGTCATCCTTAATACTTAATCATTAGAAAATATCATTAAATAAATCATGATGAACAAGCTAAATACAATTTCAAATAGTTTTCTAACTACCACTTTAGGTTCTCTTTGGTTATTTCTTGAGACCCTTTCCCTTGTGCCGTTAGGATATTTTTACCAGACAGGCCAATGACCGCTGTTACACTTAAACGTTTGAATTTTGATTTATTTCGCATTTAAAAGCTTTCATTGTGACAGAATACATATACAACAAAATAAACAGTATACAAAATTATATCGAGTTCTTTTTAACTACTTTTTTTTTAAACGTAGGCCTTCACAATAATGGTGTATTAATTCAATGCTATTAGGTGTTTTATATTGTTTAACTGTTATCACTCTGCGAAACTGTTCGAATCTGGCTTACTTATAATACACTGATCTGTCCAGTAGCTACGAGCTGTGTTTGGTCGGCAGGAACACGTAAAACCATTCGATGTCTGATCACATGTCTCTGTAAACTGGTCACATGATACCGAACATTCGTCTGTACAAACAAAATAAAAGATGTTGTTCTAGTAATAAAATGATGTGATGTAAGTTTTTCTTCACCGTGAAGTGGAAAATGATAGCAGTATAATTGAAAACAATATCTGCATCAGTGGTGAACCTGGAGTAGGCCATTCTTGAATGACAGAAACACACTGAAGATCAGCTACAGCTGCATGGATAATATAGCAACCATAACCAAGGCCCACAACAAGAGAGTCGTCAACCACAACCCCAACCGAGACCCAGAAACCTGCAACTGCAGAAAGAAAGACGACTGCCCCCTCCCAGGAAAATGCACAATCAAAAATATCGTCTATGAAGCCAAGGTTGTGACCCCCAACGATGAGAAACTCTACATTGGACTCACATCCACCTCCTTCAAAGCCAGATATGCAACTCACAAAGCAAGCTTCACCCACCAAGAAAAGAGATACCAGACCGAGCTAAGCAAACACACCTGGATGCTGAAAGACGACAGGACACCCTACACAATATCATGGAGAATCATCCGACACGCCCAACCATACTCACCCAGAACTAATCGCTGCAATTTCTGCCTATGGGAAAAGTACCACATCATCACTGCTGAGAAATCCACCATCCTAAACTCTAGAACCAAACTCATTTCCACATGTAAACATAAGAGAAAGTTTCTACTCTCTGAATATGGTTAAACCCCTCCCTCCCCCACACCCCACCCCCTCCCCCCGTACCACCATGACCTTTCCCCTTATCCTTAAATCACTTTATTCCACTATCGTTCACCCTTACTTGGGTATTAGTTGTGTCTCTTTTGTATTCTTGCCTGACTGCACATGAATGTTTTTAACTTTGTCATGTATAATGTATTTAGTTACTGATGAGCCTTCATGGCGAAACAGTCTGTATAACTCTTACCAATAAAGTTTAACCTTACCAACTCCTATATCTACATTTGCTCCTGCAGTTGAGCACTGTCAGAAATTGCAGTTTTACTATAAAACTTGCTTTTATATATATATATATATATATATATATATATATATATATAAATGAATGAAAGGCCTGTAATTATCATACCTTGGCATTGGCCTTGGAGAAATTGTGTACCTTCAGGACATACGCATTGCCCGTTTGCACATGCTTGTGAAGAATGACAAGTGACAGTCCCACACGCCAAATCTGCCCGGGAAGAATAATAAGATTATTAACAGAAATTAAAGTCTCTCATCGTGAAAACGATACTAATCAACGATGCTTATATAGCGCATATCATTAACTATAGTATACACTGTAACAAAGAAACCTAGATAAATATTTGTTATGATGTTACGTTAAACAGTAATGAATACAATTTGATCAACGTAACGTTACCCATCTAAAGAAAAAGGTTAAAAACCGACAAGTTCAAAATAGGTGTAGAACAAAATAACTTTCGTAATAAACAAAACACCCATTTCAGGAATTACGGTTGTTTACATCCACGCTTTTAACCCATCTACCCAGGGGTAGTTGAGCGTCTTTCAAAGTGTGGGGGTGCCAATAAAAAGGGCACTGTCTGGGGAAGGCCCCCTACAAAGGGGAGCCTCAAAGCGAACATATGCATTGTGTAGACATTGTTATGTACCTATACATTGTGATTACATTATTAGGGATGATTTCAATGTTTGTTTCTCTCTTTACATGATCCAAGATACTGCTTAGGAATCATACTTTGCAGTTGGGTCAAATTGGGTGTGATGATCTGAATATTTATTTGCGAGCGAGCACTGTGAAAACTTACATCTTGTAAAGAAGTAAAAACAATCCTGATGGCACAATTTTATCAAGAAAGACTGAAAAGAACTTTAGTAGAAAAGTTAGAAACATAATTAAATTAACTATAAATGCGACCGAGCGTAGCTTTTGGGGAATTGAAGGAGAAGTTGCTTTTGGTCGCTTTAAATTAGGGGAACACTTTTATTGTGAAAGGAAAAGGGGGCACTCTTCCAAAAGAAAAAGGACACTTTAATACTAGAAAATGAAAGGAGCACGTGTTAAAAAAAGAAAATGATAGGTAAACCATTAGGAAGGGGAAGACCGACGATTTCATGGAAAGATACGGTGAAGAAAGAGCAGTAACGTTAGTCTAAATTAGGAGGATGCTCAAGACAAGAAGTAGTGGAGGGAGGGAGTATCGATCATTGTGTGAAAGTCAGCAACCCCTCGTAAGAGGGTAAATGCTGACTTTAATGTATGATGATGATGATGATGATGATGATGATGAAAGTTGATGTTAGCGTGTTATCATTTTGATCTAATGCTTACCGATTTGGCACAGGGAGCCAGTGAACGTGTTTGGACATTGACAGACGGGCCCGTTTGAACCATCGACGCAGTTTCCAGAATTTTGACAAGTAGTGACTGAACAACCTTGTAGTCCTAAAGAACAATATGTAATAGGGGAATGGATTTAAACGCTAGTTTGTTTCTTAACATCATATCTATCGGAATTATGATGTCGTGTAATCATGTAAGAAGAATCATTTTGGGTACAGACTCTCTACAACCTAATGATGAATCAGATTGAATAATAATACATTTGATGTCTTTTCGTATAATTGGTAGATTTCTCTGTAATACTGCAAATAAAGAACGAACAACCTTTGTCTTGATTCTCCTTTTGGATCAAAATGTTATAAAGGCCAACTTTATTAAATTCCCTTTTCCCCGTGATTCGTCACGAATACCCAGGTTTAAAAAAAACTTCGTAATAGTCACAGACACGTCATCCAAGTTTTAAGATGAAGGTTATACGCTGGCTTAATCAATTACCGAGTCCATCGGAAAGAATGTCAAGTATAAAAGTACCTGGCCGTTTAAATAATTATAACTACATATTTTATTAACCGTCAGGTCAAGAAAAATATTTTCATTATCATTATGTACTTACTTCGGCAGCTGTCATCCGTATCTCGTTGATAACCTTCATTACACTGGCAAGTATATGATCCTATGGTGTTTAGACAGAAGCTGTTTGGATCCCCACAAGGTGTACTCGTCCTACACTCATTTGTTTCTGCAAATATTGATAGAGAGTATTGTGATTACATCATACAATGCAACAAGTGTCGACACGTGAAAGCTAGCTGCCCCATTGCATATATTTACAAATACAAATGTATCCAACATCGATGGTAAGTGTGACCTGGTGAGCGTTTCACAAAACTTGTCATCAGTGACACATGACAGGTTTTGCTATAAGCTACTGAAATCCTTGCTTCTGATTGGTTATCAACAGATTTGTCACTGATATTTGTCATTTGTCATTTAAAAAAGCCTTTGTGAAACGCCACCCCCCCCCCCTGATTTCATGAAGGGGAGGGGGCAAAGGTAATTGTGGATGAAAATATTAGAGAATGTTATTTTTTTTTTAAAGGGATTGTGGGAGGTGTAGAATCATCTTCTTTTCTAGTTGCCCTTCCTTTCCCGCTTTCCCTTTTTTTTATCGATTTTCCTCTCTATTTTTCGATTCTTGTGATTAGATTGGGGACACATATTCCGCCGCACACCACTGTATCTACGCCAGTCCACTGTTCACCACTTGCTAGAACTTAAAGATGATGATTTCTTTAAGCTAGCACCATCTATGAAAGTATGACAGGGATTTTCAATTCCACCAAATCAATTCCCGCACACTTTCTGGCGATGACATTCTTAGACGGAAAACTTATTACAATACCTAGATCGGAAATGCTCTAAAATAGTTTGATTTCCATATTTATATAGACTTGTGTTTAGACATGAATATAAATGCAGTGTTGTCACTATGCTCCTCCCACATTCTGATCGTACTCGGATAGTCAGGTGTGTATATTGAATTACCTTGACACGTGGGGAACGTCCCGACTAGCATCCCGTCCATGCCACAGGAAAGAGAGGCATCTCCGACAACAGTGTATCCAGAATCACATTGGAAATTGCATCGTGCATTGAAGGTAATAGCTACTGGTCCGTTACACTGGTCACCAATGCTGTTAAGATTAGGGGTGACGGCAGGAACTATGCATCTTACAGCTAAAAGGGAAAAAATTACAGAGATATTTCATTTTTTATCACTGATACATTCTACATGCAATAAAGTATTTGACAAATGTATGTATCTACCAGACCATGACACCTCTGTATTGATAACAATAATTAATCCTGTTTATGATTATGGTACTCGCCTGATAGCAATGTGACTGTGACGATAAAGGAACACTGAGCTGTATTTCCGGGAGTGTCTATGGCAGTGTAGGTGACCTCAGTCTCCCCTGCAGGAAACATCGTGCCTGGCGCATGGCTGGAGGTTAAAGAGGAGATGCCCGAGTTGTCCATCTGAGTGGGTGGTGTCCATGTCACTGCTACGGTGGTGGCGCCTGGTAACAGGGTTCCTGAGGCACTGAACGGACAGCCACTTATGACAGGACGGGTCACATCTGAATAGTACAGAACATGTATTGCGTTCATTGTATTATATTCCTGACGTCCATGTGGTAACATTATTGGAAAATGTGGGTGTTTTCTTTATAAGAGCCCTGAAATGCTAATTCTTTAAGCAGCTCCTAGAAGCTATCACGGGTTAGGGTTAGAGCATTACTAAAGTGATTAAAGGACTCCACATTGCATCGACACCTCGTTCAATTATCAAAGATTCACATCGCGATGACTTGTTTGTTAGTTGATAGAGCTCTCTATATATTCTTGGAAGGAACTAGCAAGATTATCTACCTTGAACTTGTACATTAAATGAACAGGTAGCAACAGCTCCTCCGTCATCCTCGGCCATGTAGGTGACTGTCGTGATGCCATAGCTAAAGAGACTGCCAGGTTGAATGTTGGATATCAGCGTGGGTGTTCCAGTGTTGTCTGTAGCTGTTGGCGCGGTCCAAGAGACGGACACTTTGTCCGAATTCGGTAGAAGCGCTCCCAGGATGCGAGAAGGGCAGTTTGAGATTACCGGGGGTGGATTTATCACGCCTTACCAACAAAAAAGGAAAGAAAAATGAAACCTTGCGCTAATAACCAACATAATGATGTGATACTGAAACAACGAATTCATATACAATGTGATAATGTATAGTTCTGTGAGCACTTGCTGCACTTGTTCCTCAGAAAAGGACGAGTCCTCCCCAGGCTCCCCCGAAAAGGGCCGATGACATGTTCAGTCCTGTCTCTCCCAAGTTTTTCTGACCTTTAAACTCATCTTAGGTCGTTTCAAGACTTATACTCGTAATGATACTCCTGTTTTCATTTGCAAATACAAGAATGAAACTATTGACAGACTGTCGTTGAAGCTTAATATGCTACTTGTTTAATCTGGAAAACTCTGAAGATAATCTGGGATTTACCTGATGACGTTACAGTAACGATGAAACTACACTCCGCTGAATTGTCAGCAATATCTTCTGCCGTGTAGAGAACCTCCGTAGTGCCTTCACGAAATGGTGATCCTGGTATGTGAGTGGACATGAAAGTTGACATTCCAGAATTGTCCATTTGGGTCGGTTCAGCCCAGGATACCGGAACAGTGGAGCTACCAGGAGGAAGGACACCAGTGACACCAGCAGTAGGACAACCAAGGATGACAGGATTGTTCAAATCTGTACCGGGATGGGTAAAATAATAAACATAGTTCTTGATTCCTGTCACACTGAAGCTGAAAGTGTGTTCATCGTAGCTCTGATTTGTATATTATCTACTAAATATTTTACTATGTGCTTACGAAAGTTCAAGTGCACGCATGAAAGTACTGAAGACCACACTATGGTAAAACATAAGACGTGTAGTCATACTCCTTGTTGATTGATGTGTTTAATAGGTTTAGCCGATGACATTTGTGGTTAAGTGATGAAGGGAAATAAACGTTGTTCTCACGTACCCCCTATCTGGACAATAAAAGAGCACGTGTCTCCAACTCCTTGGGAATCTCTAGCTGTATACGTCACCGTAGTTGAACCAAATCCAAACATGTTGCCAGGTTCTCTATCTGACGTAACTATAGGTGTGCTTGCATCATCTGTTGCAGTGGGTGGCTCCCAAGTTACAGCTACCTCAGACGAAGTAGGTGGTAAGGTTGCGTCCACATCTGATGGGCAGTTCATAAGTTCAGGTCCTGGATTGATTTCTCCTATTTACATAAAGAAGAGATTCTTGATGAATTAACCAATTTGAAATATATAATTATCATGTACATCTACATACATATACACCATTGTTGCTTTAAAACTTACCTTATTAAAACTTTTTTTTTCTTAGAGGAAAAGGAACGAACCTGACCATAGAAACATTTAATAATTTTCACGGCTTATTTAATGTCATAGAGCTCTGAGAATAAAGATATCAATATACCTCAATGAATAAAGTGTTCGAGAATCATTTTCAGGGATACGAAAGAGTATTTCATTTGCGCTTATGCCTAGGTCAAATGACTAGGAAATGGCGGTCGTAGGCCCCCAAAATCGAGAGATACCTGCGGCGTCTGCAGAAGATCTGAGGTGGCCTCAGGGTCACCCAAGGGCGTATCCCTATCTTTACAGGATGTACGGGTGGTCGTGGGATTATAACGCGGAGTTATAACTTTTTTCATTTCTTAGTTCACCGTAGCAATTATACAATAAGACACACCGTAGTCATGTCGTAGAGCGGTTCCACGGCGACCGTACGTCGCGCGTACGGTGGTTTTGCTGCTACCTTGTGTCTGTCTTGGTATTTGTCAAAATCTGTAGGGCCGCCGCAGGGTCGCCCTATGGATACCGTGCGACATCACTTCAAATGCCGCACGGCAGCCGCAGGGCCCTGGGAACGATTTTTTCACCGGGGGTGCTGAGATATATATATATATATATATATACACGTATATATCCAAAGTAGGAAGCATTTGCAACTTTATAACCACAAATTAGTCGCATTTTCACACACTTCCTTGAGTAATATGATGTAAAATTGGTTTCTCCTACCCCCTCTAAGAGTAGGGATCTTTTGCAATTTGAGAACCACATTTGGCGCATTAATGTCCACCTGCACTTCCTGGAGAGAAAAAAAACGAGACCTTCTGATTAGTTAGAGGTTAGAGAAAAGTGATCTGTCACGTCTCGAGACGTTGCATATGCTTCGTTGCTGCACATTGCACAAAGACGGTGGTCTGGTCAGTGGCGGATCCAGGGGGCCGGGGCCCGGCCCCCCGCCCCTGGGGAAAAAAGAAGGAAAAAAAAAAAAAAAATAAAAAACAAAAAAAAAAGGGGGAAGTGTTACTTCCCCCCAAGCCACTGAACGAAATATCTGACGACGTAATTTTTCCAATTTCCGGGCCAAAAAGAAAATGTGGAGAGAAATTAGGGAAAGAAAAAAAAAAGAGAAAGAAGAAAGGTAGGGGAGATCAGTTGCGATTTTTCCGCCAACAGAGTGTAGATCGGGGGGGGGGGGGCACTGGCGTCTTGATCGGGAGGGGGTATATTTCTGATTCCATAACCGTTACGGTGGTTTACACATAATGCTGAAATGACATAATTTTCTGATATTTTTCCTCATTTTTTAGTAAATTATACATTTTTATGCGTTTGTTGTAAAATGACCAATTCCTAAATTTACAGCCAGGCAAGAAATATGCTTCTTGAGGTGCCTACATGTCAGGGCCCGCGGAACGGCGGGGATCGGGAGCTTCCACCTCCCCCCCCCCCCCCCCCCCTCACACTTTTTTGACAAAGTATATTAAAGAGAAATAGAAAGAAAAAGAGCAAGAAAGAAAGAATAATTAACTGCCAGTGTCACAACAATATAAGGTATTAAAAAATGCTCATCTGACGGATCCCTGGATTCTAATATATCGGTAATTTTATGCCTAAAACCCCTGAGCTTCTGGGGGCTCCGCCCGCTGGACCTCACGCCAATCAGTGTCCTGTCAGTGGCACAAATAAGGTATAAAAATATGTTCATCTGACCGTAATTAAATGCCTAAAACTCCCGAGCTTCCGGGGGCTCTGCCCCCTGGACTCAACCAAAGGCCCTAAGGCGGGCCCCCTGATACTCATTTGACCGTAATTTAGTGCCTAAAACCCTTGAGCTTCTGGGGGCTCCGCCCGCTGAACCCCACGCCAATTAGTGTCCTGCCAGTGGCACAAATAAGGTATTCTAATATGACGATAATTTAATGCCTAAAACCCCTGAGCTTCTTGGGGCTCCGCCCGCTGGGCCTCACGCCAATCAGTGTCCTGCCAGTGTCACAAATAAGGTATACAAATATGTTCATCTGACCGTAATCAAATGCCTAAAACCACTGAGATTCCGGGTTTTCCGCACCCTCGACCCCTAAGGCGGGCCCCTGTATTTTTTGTTGCTTTATTGCTTTAATCCCCTGAGTTTCCGGGAGCGGACAAGGTATCAAAATATGTTCATCTGACTGAAGACGCGTTCCCCCACCCCCCCCCCCCCTCCCCCCCCCAAAAAAAAAAAACATCGGCCAAAAAAAGAGAGGGGAGAAACAGGACGTAGGAAGAATAATGAGCAAAAAAACAACATTTTTTGAAATTCAGACAAGGATTAAGAGTCGAGAACGGTACAACGAATGGTCTTCTTTCTTTAATAATTTTAATAAAACGTCAAAGCTTCCGCGCTTCGCGCAAGAGGGCGGGGGGGCTGAATTCTGACAAGGATTAAGAGTCGAGAATGGTAATACGAATCGTCTTCTTTCTCTAATAATTTAATAAAATGTAAAAGCTTCTTTCTCTAATGATTTAATGAAACGTAAAAGCTTCCGCGCTTCGCGCAGGAAGGGGGGGCCAAATTCAGACAAGAATTAAGAGTCGAGAATGGTAATACGAATCGTCTTCTTTCTCTAATGATTTAATGAAACGTAAAAGCTTCCGCGCTCTGCGCGGGAGGGGGAAACTAAATTCAGACGAGGATTATTTTCGAGAACGGTACAACGAATCGTCTTCTTTGTCTAATAATTTAATGAAACGTCAAAGCTTCGGCGCTTTGCGGAGGAGGGAGGGGGAAATCGCCCCTCCCTGCACCCCCCCCCCCCCACTACGTCAATGCAGGTCACCATTACGTACCGATATTTGGGTCGCATAATTTCAAATTTGGGCCCCCCTAAGAAATCGTGGATCCGCGCCTGGTGTAGAGCTTCTCAAGCGTTGGGAGCCCCAAAGTTTGATGGTAAAACTTGACTCAAATTGTATCATAATGTGAAAGAGGATCTAATTTAAGACATATTTCTGCGAGGGTTTTCAAAACAAATGCGTTTAAAGTCGAATATTGATGAAAGAATACAAAACATTTCTGCGTACAACAGAAAACCCAAATTATTGTTCTGCTTCTAATGAAGCTAACTTAATATCAGGTTGGACTTCCCCTCCCTGTATTCAATAATGAGCAGAAAAGTGTAATCTATTCCTTTTTCCATTAGACCATTTTTCTTCAACATGTCTCAGCAACAATTTTTTTTTTATTCTCTCAGCAAAATAAACCAACATTTCAAATATATACAGGGCGTCTATAGGTTTTTTTTTTGTTAACAAAACTTTAAAAAGTTACGCAAAACGTTGTTTGAATATAAAGCTAAAATCTGACCGAACGTTGCCTGCCCCCAGATATCGATTTGCACAATCATGGATTGTATGTACTAATTCCAATCATGTTTTCACTCCATCGGATTGATTATACTCCTTAGCATATAAAACATGCTACAATCAACACACCGTTTGGAATAGTAGAATTGTAAGCAGGTAAACTTAGGTTCTTGATTAGTGCACGACAATCAAACCTTTCTGATTATCATGATAATTAAAACACCATATGGAATAGAATCGTAAACAGATAACCTTAGGTTGACAATCAAACCTTTCTGATTATCATAATAATTAAAACACCATATGGAATAGAATCGTAAACAGGTAACCTTAGTTTCTTGATTATGTGCATAACGATACAAACTTCATGATTAAAATATTACTACAAACACCTATTTTACAATCTTTTTAGGTGCTCTTCAAAAAAAAAGATTAGAGATAAATGAGGTAAAAGTAATTATAGTTACATTATATGTACAGGTTAATGCACGGAGAAAGTTCAAGTCCATTGAATTAAAAGAGTGTATAAGCAGGCTAAGGTAATGAGAGTCTTATGGAAAGCATATTATCTAGGAACTCTAAAATGCAAAGACTCTCCGGAGTCATACATTTTGCACGATAGAAATTTTAGTTATTTTGTGGAAAATTGTTGGACACCAGTGGTGGATCCAGGAAGGGGGGGGGGGGGCCTGAGCGAATTATCGGCCGGCACGATTTTCAATTTGCGGGAGCAAAAAAAAAAAAATTAGTGCTCACTAACCCCCCCCCCCCCCAACCCCCCACCCCCTCCCCCACTATGCAAATTATCGGCCGGCTGTTTCGCCGCTAAACATTTTCTCATGAATTGGGCCCCCTCCCCTGCCGCCGGCTGGATCCGCCCCTGGGCCTGGTACTTCACCAGTAGTACTTGCAAAAATTAAATCGAGTGTATAAACTGTGTTGTTATCAGAGGCGTCGATCGCTATACCTTTTTCAGTGGGGGGGGGGGGGGGGTGTGGAGACCACCGATTACCGACAAAACGAGCCACCAATTACCGACAAGTATATTAATTCCAATGTCCCAATGTCTACAAATTTAACGCTATTAACCCGGGGCCAGGAACTAAGTTATTTTTCAGTTTTTCCGTCACCCGCGCATAGCGCGGAAGCTTTGACACTTCATTAAATTATTAGAGAAAGAAGACGATTCGTTGTACCGTTCCCGACGCTTAATTCTTGTGTCGCCCCTCCCGTGCAAAGCGCAGAAGTTATGACGTTTCATTGAATTATTAGAGAAAGAAGACGATTCTTTGTACTGTTTTCGGCTCGGCTTAATCCTTGTCTAAATTCAGTCTCTCCACTCCCGCGCGAAGCGCGGAAGCTTTCAAGTTTTAAAAATAATTTTGTTGTACCGTTCTTGACTCTATATCCTAGTCTAAATTCAGTTCCCCCCCCCCCCCTCTCCCGCGCGAAGCGCGGAAGCTTTCGCGTTTCATTAAATCATTAGAGACAGAAGATGATTCGTGGTATCGTTCTCGACTCTAAATTCAGTGTCCCCCTGAGCCCCCTCCCGCGCGAAGCGCGAAAGCTGTCACGTTTCATAAATAATTTCGTTGTAGTACAGTTTTCTACTCTGAATCCTTGTCTGAAATCATTTCGCCTATCCCACGCGAAGCTTTCACGTTTCATTAAATTATTAGAGAAAGAAGACGATTCGTTGTATCGTTCTCTACTCTTAATTCAAGTCCGAATGCAGCCCCCCCCCCCCCCTTCCCGCGCGAAGCACGGAAGCTTATTAGAGAAATTATTAGAGAAAGAACAAGATTCTTTGTACTGTTTTCGACTTTGAATTTTCAGTTTCCCCCCTCCCGCACGAAGCGCGGAAGCTTTCACGTTTCATTAAATTATTAGAGAAAGAAGACGGTCCGTTGTATTGTGTCCTTGTCTGAATTCAGTTTCCAGCAATCTGGTTTCTATTGTCAACACAAAAAAATTGCAATCATCACTGTATACATAGATTGGCATATTGCAAGCTTTGCATGGCTCCAGACCCATGTACTATTAGCTGTCACCACGCACGTGTGTCGCGGGTATGTTATAGGATTTTGTCAGTAAATAATAATAATAAAAAGCATAATTTGTGGCTGTCGGCTTTGTGACAATTTCGTAAACGAAGCATAATGATGTAGTCTACATTAAATATATCATACAAAAAAAAATTGCAGGGGTGCTATGCACCCCCTGCAAAATTTCCGGGGGTGCTGCAGCACCCCCAGCACCCCCGCTTCCCAGGGCCATGGGCAGCCGCAGGTTTCCTGTCGCCATAAATTCAAAATACGCCGTGCCGCTCGCTAACAAATATGACTGGTACCGTATGTGACCGTGGGAATGCGGCGGCGGCCCTATATGTGCTAGTTTGCAGTAGATATTTTAGACCCCACGGCCGCCGCGGCAAATGTGACCTAGGCATCAATGAACACAACATTCCTAACAAACGTTGATGTTACACCAGAGACATGTATATACAATTTCTTGAAGGTTATTGATAGTAGAACATAATAAAATAACAGTAATGCCTAGGTCAAATTTGCTCTACGGCTAGGACACGGCGCGGCGGCCGTACGCCCCCGAAATCGAGAGTTATTTGCGGGGGCCGCAGAGGGTCACCCTAGGGCGTATCCCTATCTTAACATGCCGTACGGGTCGCCGTGCGATTATAACGCGGAATTATAACTGTTTTATTTCTAGGATTGCCGTATCGATTAGACATGCCGCGGCGCGGCGGCAAATGTGACCTACGCATAGGGTACCTTGAACATGATCGCAAAGACCATTGGAGAAGTCAACTCGAGGGCAATTTCAATACCCTATTGTATATCCCGTAGAAAGTATGATTACGTATTACATCTTTGCAATGATCTCATATCTCAATATATGATAAACAAGGCTATTGAAATAGCCTTCGGTAATTTTGGTAATGTCTTTGTGATCGTATTCATGGAATTCTACGTGGTAATAAATGTCGTCTATGATACACATGACAAGAGAGTTGTATCAGACAAGTTAAAATAAAAATTACAACTTATGGGTAGAATGGTTGATGTTGCACTTTTTACTGTTGTGTTTTTTCAATGCTCATTTCAGCCGTTTTACTTAAGTGATTATAACCGTATGAAACGACTGGACATACCTGTCGACATAGTCACGTTAACAAGGAAACGACATGAAGCTGTATTTCCTGCTGTATCTCTGGCTGTATACACGACTTGAAATGACCCGACGGGAAAGACATCACCCGGAGAACTTTCTGACGTCAGGGTTACCATTTCTGAGTTATCTTCAGCTTTCGGTGAGATCCAGTAAGCACTTACATTCGTACTTCCCTGTGGAACCACTGCGGTAGCGCCGGCAGGACACTCACTGATTATTGGGTCGAACATGTCTTTAGAAAAGAGAGAGTTTTGAGAAATACATATAAATGAACTAGCAGTTTTAAATGAATATAAATGTTGAAATCGAAATCGAAATCAAAACTAAATTTCAAATCTATTTCCTTCCCTTTACCGGTACAATATTGGAGCATAATTATATTATCAGTGCAGTGAATATTTTAGAAAATAGGAGGCGAGAAGCAATTTCAACATTCAAGAATTGTATTAAATATAACCATGTTGTCCTTGCCTCATTCCATTAGATACAAAGAATCAAGAATATGCTTCCGAAGTTTTAAAAAAAAAAACTAAGCCAAGAAGGCAAAAATACAAGAAGTAACATACTGCAACAATAAAGTGATGTATATTATCCCTTCATCACCACCTCAACCATCCATATCACCACCTTCATCCGCACCACCATCCCCATCGCCAATTCATCCACCAATTCTACCACCACCACCATCACCACCACCGTTACCACCGCCATCACCACCACCATCACCATGAACTTTAATATACCTGTGATTATGACTTCGAAGGAGCACGAGTCCATGAGTCCACCTGAATCAATGGCTTCATATAGGACACTTATGAGGCCAACCCCAAACAGATCTCCTGGTTGATGATTAGAATTGACCGTTGCCGTACCGGTCCCAGCCGTTACCATCGGTACCGTCCAGGACACAGCTACCTGTGACGAGCTTGATGGTAGAGTTCCAGAAACACTGGACGGACAGCTATCAAACATTGGTCCTGGTGTGCCGCCTGCTAACAATTGGAAATTAAATGTAACTTAAAATACAGCCCTTGAATTATACCATCATTATAATGATTATTCAATGGCTATAGATATAAAGCCAAAAGCAACAAAAAAAGAAATAAAGAAAATGGAGTTCTATTAATTTTGGACGTATTTAAAATGACAATGACGTTAAACAACGTTGATTTTTGTCATTGATTGGACAAAGTCAATTTCATTTTCATAGTATGTAGGTATTATGGCAAGAGGACAAGGATATCATCTGATCAGCAATTGCCATGAGGAAATGTACGAGATATATTATTCTTATTAAAAGTTTATATGTTCAGAATTTCTTGACAACCTATGTCATAATCGTTTGATCATAATACCTAAATTTCATTATTTATTTATCAAAACATGTTTTATTATAAATAATGTCCAGGAGTCTTTCGGGTAAATTCTGTGTTAACGCACCTGACGCCTGTGTGACGTTAACCTGAAAGGAACACAGGGCAGAATTTCCTGCCTGGTCAGTTGCGGTGTAGACAACTTCAAAGATCCCTACGCGGAACTGGTCATTGGGTTGTCGTGTGGGCGTGAAAGTGTACATTCCAGAGTTGTCATCAGCAGTTGGCATGGTCCAGGTGACAGAGACCTCGGTGCTTCCCTGTGGAACTTCACCAGTAACTTGCATTGGACATCCATTTATCATCGGGTCAGTGACATCTATCAAAATATAACAAATTGAACACAGTTTGTCTTTCTTCGTTTTGTGTTCATACCTCATCTAAGCGCGCATTGAATATCACCATAATTGTCTTCCACCTTAAAGCCAAGTTGTGGTCTGTTGTTTTTTGTTGTTGTTTTAGGATATTCTGCCAGGTTTGAAATTCATGTGGGGTAATATAAATGGATTTCATATACCTGCTACAACTACCAGGAACGAACAGCTGATGGTAAAACTGTCAGAATCCGTGGCTGTGTAGGTAACTTCTCTTTCACCATAGCGGAACAGGCTGTCTGGTTGTACATCAGAAATGAGTGTGGTTTCTCCAACGCCACCTGCTACTGTAGGAGGTACCCATGTCACCTGCACCTGGTCTGATAACATCGGTAGGGTTCCATTCGCACCAAGTGGACAGTCAACAAGACGGATGGGATCGTCTGATTAACGAGAATGAAGTATCAAGTTTATTTGTCTTCCAGAAATCATATATGTAACAAAATATAATTGAGTATAATCATAACAGTTCAACATAGAATAAAGAAAGACAAGGAGCCAAGGTGACTATCATATTACCACGAGGAGTTATGCACGGCCACAAACAAGGTAAAGACAAAGAGAGGGATGCACAAAGTTTTTATTTGGTGGTGGGGGGGGGGGTCAAATCTCTTTTGTAAAACAAATATTGTTATAATTTTCCGTACACAATTTGTTTTGAAGGCTTGCATAGTCTGCTGATGTGTTTAATGGCTCATTGATTCCACGTGATATCACATACTAGTCTTAATGTATACATTTTGACAATATAAGATTGCTACTTAGTGGGGGAAAAACATTGCAATACTGTTCCAATCCCACTGTGGAAACTGCAATAAATATTCATTTGACCGTACTGATAGATTATAGATATTTACATGATTAGGTGTTGATTAAGAGGACGCTTGTCTATCTACCCCTTGTAAATGACTGTATCAAGTGTTCCTGTAGCGATCGAGGAACTAAACACATCTCAGTAGAATTTGTAACTTGAATCTTAAAAATAATCATTGGAGTTTTCCTTTGATGGATACTTCATAATAGTAAGTACGCCGTTGTTCTATAGCTGCTATCACATTGTGATATCACGTCCCTATGCGCGACGGTAAAGGACTATGGATACCGTAGCGCTTATTGAATTCACGGAATGAATCCTACCAGTTATCCACGTAATACATCTGGGTAGAGAGGGGCACATGGAGATAAATATGTTGCCAAAGAATGTTAGTGCTGCAGCAGGGACTCGAATCATGTACCTAGTGGTTCACGGTCCGATAACTAATCCACTAGACAACTTCACCTACCCAACCACATGTCAATATGATAACCCTACCTGGAAACGCTCTGACAACGACCGTGAAATTGCATGTTGCATTATTCCCAGCCGCATCTGTAGCAGTGTACACAACGTCAGTAGGTCCGATAGGGAAAGTGTCTCCTGAGGAATGACTGGAACTGACAGTCACCATTGCAGAGTTGTCTTCGGCTGTTGGTGGATCCCAGAAAGCCCGGCCCATTGAGCTCCCTTGTGGGGCTACAAGGCTGTCTACTACTGGGCAATCAGTCAGATCTGGTTCAGTGTTATCTGTGCAAACAATGCAAACAAAGTACATTCATATCTGTTTCCTCCAAAGACTAGTAGGTCCTCGCCCTCTGCATGATATGCCACTGACTACAAAGGATGTAATTCTATGATGCGAGCTTTTTGTATAGTTTTGCATTTGCACTCTCGGCAATTATGCTTTATGTCAAGACGACGAGTGTAGTTGTGTGTCGGTCTATATAATCCACCTCGAATGGTCTAATTGGATTAGAAGAGGTCCTTGATGCGATGTATTGTTTTCAGAGAAATCATACGACTATTTCCGCTTAGCTTTTAATCTGATCTGTTGATCAAATGTGATGAATTATGATATGATGAATTATAACGTACCTCCAACTACCACAGTGAAATTACACGTATCTGTAAGGTTCTCGGAATCTGTAGCGGTGTAGGTGACGATTGTTGATCCAAACCCGAACATGCTGCCTGGCTCATGGGTTGTAGACAACACTGGGGTATCATTGTCATCAGTGGCATTGGGTGGTGTCCAAGTTGCAGTCACATTAGACGAGGTAGAGGTCAGGGTTACTGGCACGTCCATAGGGCAATCTGACAAGACTGGGGGCTGGTTGGTAGAATCTTGAGGTCAACGGATATGGAATAAGACTTAACAGCGTGACGATAAGAAACGAGAAATATTACATTACTCCATGATTACGATAATATCACGGATACGTTTTCATGACAGTAAGTTATAAAATGCAGCACATTGTAGAACGACTGGGGAAGATTATATCCATTATTAAGGCACGATAGGGGTTATTCTCCATGACCATTTCCACAAAATGACACTTTGTAGAACTTGCCTATAATCAATCGACGATTCATTTCTTCACATTCGTAATTAATTTGTATTCATCAACCCCTTTATATCAATTAATCAAGAGTGAGTGCGGTTTCCAGCATTAGGAATTTTGTATCTATCCATGATTTTGTGCTCTTCAGTGACATGGTTGAATACATTTTTATAAATTATGCAAATGATATCCAAATAAAATTCATACTTGAAACTAGGAGAGATGATAAATGATAGCTTCAGATGTGATGTGATCAAAAATGAAAGAGTATGCCTTGAGTGTGCGTGTGTGTGTGTGTGTGTGTGTGTGTGTGTGGTTGTTATTTTACCTGACTACTAAGAAAGCATAAATGCAAATTAGTAAGCAACCGGAGGACCGACTGCTTTAGGTCTTCTCCGAGGGACCTAAGTTAGGACACGCATTCTTCAGCCTTTTACATTAGTTGGTGAATCGAGTTCTACCCACCTGGCGCAACTGAGACATTGAAGATACATGTCACCATATTCCCGGCTGCATCTACTGCAGTATAAGTAACTGTTGTCTCTCCGAGAGGAAATGAATCACCAGGGTTGTGAGTCGACATCAAAGTGGACAATCCAGAGTTGTCACCGGTCATTGGCATTGGCCAGAATACCTGAACCATACTGTCTTCTGGCATAAGCAAGCCTAGTGCGGTACTAGGGCACATGCTGATTACCGGAAGTGTTGTATCTTAGCAGTGGAGACAAATATATACATATCATGATTATCCTTGTTACCGCATAGGAATTTGTATTAGATTTCAATCACCATGTCATCACTAATAAGACTAACATATGGTTGTAAATATATTTAATACATGTATTTTTAACACACAACTGTAAAAAGGAGGTGTTGATGTACAAGCATTCCGTTTCAACTACTTGTACCTTGAATAGGTATTGTTCAACAGATTGTATTACTAATCAACGAAACTCTGTCAGTATTAATAAGATAGGATTAATCTCTCAAAAGAGTGAGAATGACTGTGATTCGCCAATGCTTGGTCAAATATCAATACAAAAAACACACATATTTTCGCATGATTAGTGACAGTCGGCTGTGCAAAGTCGACATAGAATAATGCGTCAAAGTGGTCACTCCAAATCGACTTTAGCACAAGCTGACTCAAGAATTAAGCCAGATGACGAATTGATTCGTTTCTCACTGTCGAAGAGATCCTGTTCCTTGTGTCAAATGTGCCATACCTGTCACGTTAACGACGAACGAACAGTTGACAGAGAGACCCTCACTATCCATTGCTGTGTACGTCACAATGGTCAGACCATACTCAAACATACTGCCAGGCTGATTGGTGGAAGACACTTGTGGCGTCCCAGTGTCATCCACTCCTGTAGGTGGTGTCCAAGACACAGAAACGAATGACGATGTATCTGGTAGTACTTGGGATGTATCGTTTGGGCAGTTGTTTAGGACGGGAGGCTGATTCGCGGTACCTTTGATATGAATAGCACAACAAAAATGGACGTTCATATACACATGTCATTCTAAAATCAGTACTGATAGGAATGCTGCTACTTTGAAAATTATACTAGTAGTTGAACAGTAATCATTCACTAAAAGGTTTTAGGCTAACAGAAAGTAGATTCTTCAAATTAATAAAACCGTGAATCTATGTCGTTGAAGAATACCCCTAAAGCTTTATTCATCTGCAAACGTTCCAGGATACACTCAATACTCAAAAGGAAAGAGAAATCGATTGCCAATATGAGCATTATGGGTTAGCTATATTGTATTTGGTATATTGTATCTTCAGATATTCCCTAAAATTCTTTGGTGTGATTCAGTACATACCTGTAGCAGTACTCACACTGCCGACATTGGTCCTTTCTGATCCATTGGCGGCCACAACAGAAAATGTATACAATGTCTGTGGTTGAAGGTTCGAAACTAAAGCCATCGACTGACTCGTCGGAATAGACATAACCTCTGCAGTCGTCGTATCCTGACTGATGTATGATATCTCGTAAGATGTTGCCGTGGGAACGGCAGTCCATGTCAGTTCAACCGAGTCAGATGTAACCGTGGTAGAAGAAATCCCATCAAGTAGATCTGGAAGTAATGGGGAAAAACAATGTGGCACTGTCATTTTTTCAGCTCCAAGATGTGTGCGATATTGCGTGTGTATTCACATAAAGATATCTGACAATGGAAACCTTCCACTATGTTTCGTATTGTCATTAACCTTCATTTACCACCGATGGCGATTGGCATGATCACATGCTTACCACGAGTGCTCATCGGCACACACTGTAGGAACCAATTAGCAAAAGGATTGTACTGTGAATTACAAGTGCCTCGAAAATAAATAACTTATAATAATAATTTCTGATCATACGTGAGCTACATGAGAACCCTTTGATCATATTTATGTAGTTGGTTTATACAGAAAATTTAGAAATTGTTCTGAATCCAGTAGTTGAAATACCTCCTTAGAACAAAATATGAAACAGGGACACTACTTAATATGCTATCCTACCCCCCCCCCCCCAAAAAAAAAAAAGATTTTATTGAATATAATGGCACCCCTCGTTATTTCTTTGCGCTACCCTAATGCCTTCTTCTTGTCAACACGCTGTTTAATTGACTTTCAGCAAGGACATTTTCCACTATTAACATCTAGTTGATTTCGTCTTCGCGTTGGTCATGTTGGTAAGTATAAACGTTAACAGTTCGCTATGCTCTTGATATATTTCCTATTGTTCAACCCAGTGCTTCATATACGTACTTGTTCTACGGGTTTCCGAAGACACTACCATAACCTCTGACACAGCAATCATCGTGTACACTGTGTCAGGTTGGAGTTCTGTGAATACCAACGATATGTTGCCAGGTTCGATCGTCCTTTCATGTTCCTCCAAACCATCCTCACTAAACAGTTTGACTTGAGTCATTGCTGAAGGGGGATTCCCGGACACCTCTAATTCCTGGGCGGTAATAGCTCGTATGTTCATACCGGCTTGTGTACCTGTGTGTTTAGATATATACTAATGTAATGGTGAAGCCGTCATCTAATGTCACGTAGTTTTTATAAACATACAATTATAAATTCATCGTATTTTGATCGGCTAGTGACAAGCAATGATACAATGAAAATGAGTACATTACTCTTGTAGACTTACTCTGATAAACACTGTGCGGATTTTATTGACAAAACAAGTTAACCCATTTCCTACTGGAACCGGGTGGCTCCTGTATTAAGCCTATGTGAATGTGAGAATCCAGTAGTCAACGGGTTAAACCCATCCATGAACAAGTTTAGCAATATCATGTAATGTATACGTACATGTGCAGTTATCATTTTACCTGCTGGAGAGCGTTTAATTTCAACAATGTTTCCTTAGAAAGAACAAATATGCTCTTCGGAGTGACTCCATTGAACTTAAATCAAGTCATGATTAAATTTACGATAATCCTGAACTATGCCACACAAAAACGAGGTTCTATTGTTTTCATCACAAGATCAACAGTTATCTACTAGTACATATTACTACATCACTGTCAATACGAAAACATACCACCCTGTGATAAATAATTATAGATTCTTCGATCGTTCTATTTGCGATTACCTAGGGGAATTTCCAAGAGATCAGAGGAACCACTTAGCGTTGGTCCGATACCGGTAAAGAATTCAAATATATACTGAGCTCCTGACATCAGTCCTCCCAGACCGTAACTCTTTCTTGGTGGCAGAAAACGTATTTCATCGGCTGCAGATACAGAACTGTTGCTCCTCAAAATGTAGTCGATGAAGAAATTGTCAGGAAGAGAGGGAGGATCCCATCGAAAGAAGTATGAGGAGTCACTGAGTTCATACACAGTGACATTTTCTACCCGCTTCGGTCCTGTGGACAACATACACATATTTAATTCATTCTTCCGTCATATTATGGATAATGCAGATGCTTTTATGTCATCACTATTTTTGTTTTTGTTTTTGAAGTGCACCATGAACATTTGGTCTCAAGTGTATTTGGTGCCTTACAAAGTTCATATATTATTAATAGTAATAGCAGTAGTATAATTGTTATTATCATCATCATCATCACCATCGTAAGTATTCATATGTGAGTCGTCGGGTTCAATTTATTAATTCGGTTCTGTCCTGTAGGATAGTGATATCTCTGAAAATGAAAGCTTCGCGGCAATTGTATAAAAACGACGAAAATAATAATAGTTGCATTTTGAATATCCCCTTTCCCACTGGATGCAAAGCGCTTCGTATCAAAGGAGCTAAACTTTGTTTGGTCTGTGTGATCTATGTTGTCTATTCAATTGTTGTTATCCATATTAAAGCCCCTCACAAAGTGTTGGGACTCTCAAATATTTGATAGCAAAAATTCACTTAAGTTGAATAAAGATGTGAAAAGATGATGTCATTTAACACAAGCTTCTGCAAAGATTTTCAAAGTATATTCATTTTAAGGCCAATATTTGATGAAAGAATACACAATTTTAGTTTTTCTGTTGTACCAGAAAACCCAGGTACTTTTATTCTTTCATCAATATTCGTCTTCAAATACATTCATTTAAAAGATCCTTGCAGATGTGAGCGCTTAATGACATCCTCATTCACATCATTATTTAAGTGAAAGTTTGCCATCAAATTTTGAGGCTCCCAACCCTTTAAGAGGGGCTTATAAAGGAAACACGCTATCGATTTGGTTTTTGGATCAGGTGGATGCCACAGTGAAACATATTTTTATCCAATGCATATTCCTGACCAACATAAATGAATGTCTTGCTTACTCGTGACAACGTTCAATGCAGCAAAGTCGACGGGAGTACTGATGAAAGAATCTATATCTATCATGTACTGTGTCCCTGGTGTGAGTTGCTCGAAACGCTGAATGATTATCGGTGATGGCGCAAAGCTTCTTGTGGGAAGAACTATACCATCGGCATCTGACAGAATAATGGTGTAGGCGCTGATTCCCATGTTAACATCGTTGGTCCAAGTCAGCTCGAAGAAGTCGGTACCAAGGTCGCTGACGGTGACAGTTGAGTTTTCTGTGACAGGGTTAAACCGCTTGAAATCATTCTATTCGTTTTCATTGAATCTTTTCAGTGCACGTGTGTGTGCCTTCTGTTCTGACTTATTCAGATTTTCAACTTGCAAAGTGTAAATAATCATCTAAATTTTCTTTCACTTTTAGAATGACTTACTTTGTAAAGCAAAGTTAATGAAGATGAATGTATTGACTCAGTGTAAAGCCAGTCATTTCTAATTGCATACCAGGCAGAGTACCGAACATATTATCTATTTTGTTTTTACATTATGTGAACGTCATATTACGTTGTAATCATTCACAAACGATTTGCAAATTCAAATTTGAGATCGGATTCTACCTACCCCCACTCACGACTACCGTAAACGAGCATGTGCCAATGTTTCCTGAAGGATCCTCGAAGGTGGCGGTCACGATAGTTGTGCCGAGTGTAAAGTTGCTGCCAGACGCTGAGCTAACGCCGACAAGACTTGTCATCCCTGAGTTGTCGGTAGCTTCTGGGGGAGTGAATGTAACCGCTGCGTAGCTGGCACCAGATTGTGCGATGGCGGTAACGTTCTCTGGACAAGTAGCCTCTGGTGGTGTCATGTCAACTGAATAATTGAGTTTGGTAAGGTATGGGAAAGTGATACTTCACAATGAAACGAGGAACGCTTCAAGCAAAAAATAAACAGTGTACTTGTATCATATAATGCATGAGCGTAGGACCCCCATACATATTTCATTTGGATTATGTCCACTACTTTATCATTTTTATTGAACTCATGGAGAAAATAATTCCACTAGACTATAAGACAAACGACCCACGAAATAGGGTGTAATTTACAAGTTCCTCGAAAAATTTCAGATAAAACCTGCAGGTTTACTTGTTAAAGCAGCACACTTCTATAATCGATGATTGATTTTTAAATCTTCGATGGAATTTGTTATCCCTTGAACTGCTTTCTTCACCTTCTGTGACGTTGATAAGAAAGAAACATGAAGCCCGATTCCCTGCCGCATCAGTAAAGATGAATATTACAGGTGTAGAACCCACTGGAAACAGAGACCCAGAGACAGGACTGTGGGTCACAAGTGTAGCGTTTCCTGAATTGTCGGTAGCTGTGACAAGTTCGAAGGTCACCCTCTTTCCAGAGACTCCTGACTCGACTGTCTCTACCAGATCATCAGAACAAGAAGGTGTCGGCGGGGTTTCATCAACTATATGAACAAGAAAAGTAGTGTGATATGTCACATTTGATAACGGCAAGTTGATTCAAGTAAGTACATGTTCATCCTTTAGTCCCACCAGGTAGAGAGCCGACGATACTAACAAATTGTCGGTGTCGAGACAACTTTGAAGACTGACATGTTGGTCTTTGGTCTGTCGATCTCTTTGGCTATCAGAGAACCCTCAGAAAAGTTTCAGACAGCCCGTAAGTCCAGTTATGTCGACCTTATGTGTTGCTGTTTGTCTCGTGGGATGTATCCCATTCAATTCACTTTAAAACCCAAGAGTTCAAAATAACCTGACTGATCAGTGTATAGTGGAAAACAACTTTCTTTCTTGTTTTGGTCTGGTAACGCGATTTATTGATAATTCAAAATATTTTACACAAAAACTTTGAAATATTAATGCTTTCCTTTTTCATTAACATTGTATCCACCATGTAGTTGTTTTACGCGAGACAAAGATATACTTGTTCTGGAAATAGTTGACAGTATGAGATAAAAATGTTAAGGTCGGTTCATATCGAAAGTAGCATTTCATTTATTCCATTTCTTTGATCCATAAATTATGAACAAAACACTCAAGAAATAAACATACATCATGACATAAGCAATCTCAACTGCATGTATAGTTTTAATACAAGGGAAAAGGCTTCAAGAATCTTCACTTTATTAAAAAAAAAGGATGGCCAAATGAGAAGATTATCTGTTTTTAAGTAAGTCTAAATACTATCCACATGAGTTGATGTTCATAATGTCAATTCGAGCATCCGTCTTACCAGCATTGATTGAGACAAGAAAGCTGCACTCGATGAAATTTCCACTGGCATCACCAAAGACAAACGACACCACTGACTGTCCAATGGGGAAGTCGTCACCGGAGTCATGTGACCTATTGAGCAGATTGACCACGCCCGATGTATCCATAGCTGTGGCGTCATCAAATGTCACTTGAAATGGACCTTGGTCGTCCACCTCTACTGTTCGTTCGATATTCCTAGGGCAAGTAACTACAGGCGGTGTAGTGTCCGCTAGCAACAGAAACGATCATACATATTGAAAGTTTTCACCAACGAAGTGGTTGAAACATAATTAGATTCATATATTTACAGTAACATTTTATCCCACATGATTCAACTCGTTTCGTTTCGGTTTAATAAAATTTGGAGTGGACTATTAGGCTATTATTATTATTATTATCTTGATTCACAGTGTATATAAATGTTCACCTCGATGGGAACTTAGAACAAATCTCAATTAACCATAGGTTTTTACCACATCCACTAAATGAACTAATAGTGACTATGTATACATACGTCATATAACATTATTGTACTGATATCGAGACATGTACTTTTAAAGTTTCAGAATTGCACTATTAAACTAAACAAAATCGAGTTTATTACAACTCCATCATCAGCCTAATTTACATCAGCACGTTATCTCTTTCTAAAGTAAAATATTTCGAATCTGTATATGATAGAAATAGTCCATCTGCTTAGAGCCAGAAGGCGATAACTCTTTAGCAGAAAGGTAATATACTTTCGGCGATCAAAAGGTAAATTAATGATAATATATACATTAGCGAGTAAATTAATTGGCAATCAAAGAATTTGCATTAAGAAACAACACGATCTAATCATACCGACTGACACTTTAATGAAAGGATATTTAATTTATGTACATTGGTACGGTGACCGTCGTAGTAAGACGTTAGATAAGTATTAAACAGCAAAAAGTATAACCAACAACGCACCTGTGTCACAGATAGGCCCATCGAATCCCGGTTCACAAACACAATTGAAACTGTTGACATTATCAATGCAGGCCCCATTTATACATGGAGAGCTCAGACACTGGTCCGTATCTGTGAGATGAATTTAATGGAATTATTTCAAGATCCGTGTAAGCCACTATATGAACCACAGGAGGAGAGGTAAATATAATTGTAACCAATGCCTCATCTTACCCGATAGCAGGGCAGAAAATATTACAGATAAATGGTAAAATATTGAGACATAATCATTGAAGAAGTCCTATCAGTACCGTTTTTATTTTCAATATAATGTGCCCAATAGTCATTATAACAAGTTCTTAAATTAATGTTTGGGGAAATACACATGGAGAAAGAAGGTAATGCTACAGCTGTATTTCATCATTGAAAGATATTATCGAACATTGGCTCCGATTAGAAAATAGGCCTATAAATATACATTTTATAATGTATTACAGCGTAACAATCCACAATTTGATCGTTCAATATTCTACTCAGTATTCTTTTTCTTCAATAGTTGATTATTACATATATATTCATGTACACTTCGGTCTTATTTTGCGTATTATTAGCGACTTTTAGATTCTGCACGACGAGGAGGTGGACTGCCCTTTTAAGGCAATGTGACGTCACCGCCAGTGCCTTAAAAGGATGTCACATTTCTGCTAGAAATTACCTTATTACCAGCCTACATATACTTTGCTGATCTCTGAGAAGTGTCTAACTTTTGTTTTTAAGTGGCCCAAACATTGTCGAGCATGTGTGCAGCGCTTTGTAACTGCAAGGAAAAGGCGCTATATCAAATATCTTTTGGATTGGATTGGATTAAAAGGGCAGTCCATGTTCTCGTCGTGCAGAATCTAAAAGTCCCTATTGTTTAAACACCGAACACTGAGCAATCCTTTTGATAGTACTCACCTACAGTGATTGATAATTCACAAGAGCCTGTATTGCCAGAATTATCCTCAAAGGTGAAGGTAACGATTGACAATCCAAAGGTAAACATGCTCCCAGACTGATGAGACTGAGAAATGAACATGACCATGTTGGATAGGTCAGTGGCTGTGGCATTGTCAAAGGTGACCATTGCAGACTGGGGACTATCTACTATTCGAGTGATGCTTGTTGGACACGTGACTGTCGGTGCTGTCCTGTCAACTGTAAAATGAACGAGAAGATTGTTTATAATTGTTTATGCTTACAACGTCGAATGTAATGTACGTGACTGTGTGAGCGATATATTACTATCATGATTATGATCTTTGATCTACCATTATGAACTCTTTAACTGGGTTCTTAAATTATTTTTTAAAATAATATTTATATAATTTTATCTGTGCTCCAAGAATCACTATCGACAATATATTCTCATCAATGAAGACCTTCATAATGATAATGACAATGGTGACGATATTAACAATAATGATAATCATAATAATGATGATAATAATGGTAATAATAATAATAACGATGATAATAATAGCAAAAATAATAACAACCATAACCAAGAGTGATAACTACAGTGTAAATAATAATAACAATAATCCAATCAGATATATCGCAAGTCACATCTTTATATCAACATCTCCATGTTCCTCCTGATTTGTCAAACGTGCATGACATAAACATCATTGATAGATCTTTAGCATGAGTAGGCACGTCGAATAATCACTGTTTCTTACCTATATTGAAATCGATGCTAAAGGAGCAAGTTCCCTGATTGCTGCTCTGATCAGTGGCTGTGAAGGTGACTACAGTGGTTGCATCCACGGGGAAGGGTCCGGGTGAACTGTGACTCGTTATTAAAGAGGTATCGGCGAAGTCGAAGACGATAGGATCGGGAAAAGTAATCGGGACATTTGTTGGTCCTAATTCAATGGTCATGTTGATGTTTGGAGGGCAGGTCAGAACTGGATCTGTCGAGTCAACTGCGGTGGGTGCAATATTGAAACAAATGATTACTGACATTGGTTTTAATAGCATGGATGATTGAACGTTGCATTAATGCCTTCTACGACACCTGCTGTGGTGACATTTGCTCCACGGTCAACATCCTACACTTGCCGACTTTCAAACTTGAGCACTGGACCAAACAGTATACCTGACCTTAAACCTTGACCTAACGCTATTTTTTAAGGAAATGAGGCTCAAAGCCAACGGCGCCTTCCTGCCACTTGGACATGGTAAATACACGGGCATAACAACACAAAACATTAATCGCTTACAGTTCTTACTATTGATTTTGGTCATACCGTAATATACATCAGTGTGTATCTAGGCAGTACAGAGCTAAAGTTGCGCCACAAATATATGATGTTGAGGTTTGAAGGTTGATGTGTTATTATCCAAACGTTCAAATACATTAATATGACAATTAGTATAAACATAATAACAATAATAAATGCATTTTTAACAAATATCTTGAATCTCTTCCTACTTGTATTGACATTGATATTGAATGAACAGGAACCCTCATTCCCACTCTCATCCCTTGCAGTAAAGGTAACTCTGGTTGTTTCTCCTACAGTGAACGGTCCTGGAGACGTATGGCTTGATGATGTAATTATCGCAGTATTAGAGTCGTCCGTGATAGACGGGTTGTCAAAGGAAACAGGAAGGGTTGGTAAACCCAGCTGAGCCTCTGCTGTGTTGTCAGGTGGGCAGGTCAGTACCGGATCCGTTGAATCAACTGTCGAGGGTAATATTTCAAAAAAATGTTACAGAATTAACCACTTTAAGAAAATAACAAAACTGTCTATATTTTGAGTATTCGAGACAGATATGTACCCAGTGTGTATTCTTTACTGGATACCTCCCTATAATGATAGTAATCATCTGGATTTATATAACCCATTATACATCTTCCAATTCTCTCAATACTTCACATATATACCAATGCACCAATCATCGGATTCAGGCTTGCCCACAAACGACATGTGCACATTCTATAATCCCTGGGGAATATTCCAAACTAGGCACCATTTTACAGACGATCGCGATGATGAAAACGCCATTTTACCTTTTACCCGTTTTGAACCAGGATGAAGAGGAGACATCTTAATAAAATGTTTTGCGTTGAGGACGAACGGAACAGGCCAGGGATAGCACACTTTGAATGTACTTTTCGGCTCAGCCCAATCTATTACGTAACAATGACATACCCTCCATAATCAAGACAGTGAAGGAACATGAATCCTCATTCCCGCTCTCATCACCAGCAGTGAAGGTGACCGTTGTTATCACTCCGGCTGGAAATAAGGAACTCGAGTTGTGACTTCGTGATAGAATCATCTCCGTGTTTGAAGCATCAGAAATGGCAGGATCATCAAAGGACACATTCCGTGGACCCTGACCAAGCTCAATCGTCTCGAATATGTCTACTGGACATGTCAGCATGGGTGGTGTGGTATCCTCTGCAGAATTTATTATGTGGAATCAAAGAATAATAAATCGAACAAGTTGTTTTGCGTTTATTCCTAAGTACTGAATCTAATGAGATCCGTTTTCAGGGTCGCATGTATATTCCCTTCGAAACGTTTTACTCATTTAATATATAATACCGATTTGATATATCTACCCGTATTGCTTGTAATAAAACGACTCTTCGGCTTGTATGAATTTTAATTGCTTTTGTTGGAAAAGTGGAACAAATAAAATTCAAACTTCAAACACACTTCAAACTTCAAATGTACCACCTTTATAATGACAGCGCAAGACGTTAATTGTTTTAAAACAATCGTCACTTGTACCATGTTGATGTTAAGAGCTGTTATTATCATACTGATAATCTGCTTCTCGTAGAGTATATAAAACTAAAAGTATATTTAGAAAATAAACATTGTAACGACTCTACCCCCTTATGAAGCAAAAACTGTGCGAGAATTATACTCACGCGTTGTAACGTTGACGGTTAATGTACAGTTGCCTAGGTTATCGCTCGTGTCTGTGTATACGATGGTCACAAGAGTTGGTCCTATAGCGAACATTGATCCCGACGATGGACTAATGCTCAGGAGAGTTGGTATGCCCGATATATCAGTAGCAGTAGCAGTATCATTTGGAATGGTTAGGACTGTACCGTTGGAACCGAGTTCAACTGTCTCGAATAAAGTCGATGGACAGGTGACGTTCGGAGGTGTAGTATCGACTGTGTAGGAATAACAAAGAGTGGCATATATATATATATATATATATACCATGGTTAGTGCGCCCTCTCTAAAAGAAATGTCTCTTTCCTTTGTATATGCACGTTACCCGTTGTATTCCTGATCATCATTAGTTGATTAAATATGTCACTTTCCTTCTTACGGTGTACTTCACCAAGTATCCCAAATCAGCGTTTAAAGACAGTTCTCAACCAAAGTGCCATTTTATAGTTTATTTTAATGTTACACAATGTTTCAAGAACGCTCCATGAATACTTTATAATGAGCCCTGGGGGGTGTTTCACAAAGATCCTAAGTTGAACTTATCTCTAAGTTGGACTTAAAAAGTATGGACAGCCATTGGAGCCTTAAAATGAAATACATTCAAAAGCAAAAATTGGAGGATTTCAGACTTTTCATCAATTCCACATCAAGAACATGAAATCTCCCATGATAATAGAAAATATGAATGATTTGAATCAACATTTTATGCCTTCTAAAAAAAAAATTACAAAATATTTTCAAGGATGCTAATGGCTTCCCATAAATTTTAAGTCCAACTTAGAGATAAGTTCAACTTAGGATCTTTGTGAAACACCCCCCGGGTCAATTTCACAACCACTTTTCATTTTCCCAAGGTATATAAGATTAATAATATTTTGGGCCGCTTGAACATCTACGGCACTAAATGGGTTAGTAATATTTGTTTGCTTGAAACAGTAAGATGAAAATATTCAATACTTCTACATCTACGTTAGATGTATGAATATCTTCCGGATCATTACATGGACAAGGTAAAGATTATTTACACACATGCCGAATAGGATTTTCACATATAATGGAACAATGTTTGAAACAGAAGGGTGTTTGTTGAATAAATATCGTCAATACCTCCAAATCTATGTTAGAGATATCTTTAGTTTCCGTGTGAACATATAGTGAAAATAAAATACACACTCATGTCGATCGGGATTTTCACACTGAAACAAATACTTAGCGTAATAGTTATAGGGTGACCCGATATTTGCTCCCGTGACTATTGCTCTGGCCTTTATATCGTCAAAGATATAGAGACTAGTAAGGGTAGCGTTTGGGTTTTAGATTAGGGTTAAGATTAAAGTTAGGTTTAGGTTTAGGTATAGTATTTCGTCCGGGGTTGAATTGAAGAATTCGGTTGGTGTGGAATATTTTCGTGGACAACAATTCATTGTCTCTTTGGTCACTCTTTAGGTACATACCAGCATCGACAGTGATTGGAAAGCTGCATTCACCGCGGTTAGAACTCTCATCCTGGAAAACGAAAGACACAATTGTTGTCACGCCCACAGGAAACATGTCACCAGAAACGTGACTCTGATTCAGAAGCGTGACGTCACTAACGTCTGTCGCAGTAGCATTCGGGAAGGAAACATCGAGGAAAAGTTGTCCAAGCTCTACTGTTAGGTTCATCGTGTCCGGACAGGTCACGGCTGGTGAAATCGTATCAACTGCAATATCAAAATATATCTTATGATTGTTAACATCAAATTCAACATTAACATGGTCGCAAAGACCTTCTAAAACTCAACCTCGGTCAACTCAAGTAGCCTTGTCAATAATCTTTTGATATTACAGCATAAAAATGACGTATTACTTTGTCTAATTGTATTTATATATGACATACCACATATGGTATTGAAATTGTCCGTCAGTTAATTCTCTAAGGTTGATCATGTTCACTCTTTGTAAAGTTTGGTATAGTTTGGAGAAATTACTGAAAGAAAGACACGGATCAGGGTCTATCATATTCAAAGGCCTTGTGATGTTTACAGGATGTGATAGTGTTGCTTCGATGGTAGCTCCAACTCTCTTCTAAGTTTTGTATTTCCGAAAGTCATTGTTTTCATGTTGCATTGCTGCACTTATAGGCAAAATCTATATAGGTTAAGGCTTTCATGATCAAGAAAAATGTCATATCATGTTTGTTTACAACTTCTGTCTAAGACAAATGTGCAGGCACAATGCACTACTCACATGCCCTCTTCTCTACGAATTAGTTGTTGCCTTAGTTCGATGAAGGCTTAATTCGGGTATAAAATAATCTTTGTGCACAATCACAGGCAGAACATATCCATGGAACTTAAAGGAGCTACGGTATAACATAGACATAGTAGTAGTAATACAACAGTCTAATACACTACCTGATATGAGGAATACTGAAAAGGAGCAAGATCCCACGTTTCCGGTTTGATCCATGGCACTGAACGTGACTATTGTCTGTTCACTGACTGAGAAGTTAAACGGAAATTCATGGCTTCGTGAAGACAAGGTTGCAGTATTGGATTCATCCATGATCGTGGGATCATCAAAGGAAAGTTCCACCGTCGCTGTCCCAAGTTCAACTAGTTGTGGTATGAAATCCGGACAAGTCAGGACTGGATCTATGTTATCGACTGTAAAAGAACGAAACGAATACGGGGTCGAATTATAAGAAAATTTAACTACAATACCGTCCACTGATCTTATCAAGACACAAATGGCGGTGGACAATCATTCGCTTTTGTTAATATTGTATTAGTGATAGGTTCATAGATTGTGGTTATGATTATGATTATAGATGATAAAAGTTAAGGTTAACTTATCCCTCAAAGTTCTTACCAAACAGCGCAAAATACAAGAAAACTATCAATATTAGGGTATAGGGTCGATGTTCCGTAGAACCATTGGGGAATAAAGTGCATACAAACAAAAAAGTTGATTTACTTTCGATAAAATATTTTTAAATTTAAGGGTAATTTGTGATGAGCTCTTAAACTTGAAGTGCTTCATTAAACAGGATAAGACAACATGTATAATTTATTTGTCGAAAAAAAAAAAACGACGTCTATTTCTATTCGAGAAATTGAATGTTTGTATTTGTAATAAGACCCTATATAACATTGTAAAAACATAATAATATCATTACCACCGTAAGAATAATAAGGTACATGTACTTGAAATAAACCATGTAAGTGCTTAAATGGCCCAAACATTGTCGAGCGTGTGTGCAGTGCTTTGTAACTGCAAGGAAAAAGCGCTATATCACATATCTTTTGGATTGGATTGGATCGGGGACAACATTTTGATAAAGGAACGATGAGGGAGAGGAAAATATTGCCCAATATAGGACAGAGGGACGTATATAATTTGAAATGTTAGCAATTTATTCATTTTTTTCCTTACAGATCTGTGCTACTAAGAACGATGAACATACCAACTCCTGCGCGCACAATCACATTGAAAGTACAGAACGCCTGGAGTCCACTCATATCTATAGCCGTGTAAGTGATAGCTGTAACTCCGATTGGAAAGTGTCCTCCAGGGTTGTTAATCGAGGTGACAGTTGGCTGTCCATCGCTGGCATTAGCTGTCGGTTCTGTCCATGTCACAACGGCGGATGCAGCACCAAATGGAGCTGCAACCACTACATTGGATGGGCATTCAGTAAACCCAGGTGGGTCGGGGTCATCTAGAAGAAATGGAAAGGAAAATTGGCATCGAACGATATTTTTCCATTTTCAGTTTTATATACATTTCAGATTAGAATTATGCAGTTGCGAATAAACAGAGATACATTCAGGGGAACATCACCAGTGCCTGATGATTGCTCACAAGAACTGCTAAACTCTGGTTCATACTTTTGAATGTTAAAACTATCACACCACAAATTCTCCATAGAAGTTATATTTCACATAATCTGTCAAGCAATTTAACCGCCATGCAATTTGAATTGTCATTAATAAAGCATATTTGATCCTACATACCATTATTTGGATCTGGGACGAATACAACGTTGAACTGACACATCACCGAATTACCCTGCTGGTCCATAAACACGTATGTCACAGGTGTGGTTCCCTCTCCAAACGAATCTCCCGGGTTGTTGGTGGCTATTACAATGATATCATTCTGAAATGTCCTGTCATCGGTTGCGGATGGTGGTGTCCATGTTGCTGTTGCAGTAAAGACTCCAGGTTCAGCAATAGCAAACACATCGCTGGTAGGACAGGTTGTGGTGAGTGTAGGAGCGACGGTATCGGAACGATCTGTTTAATCCAAGTGTATTGAAAATAAATAAGAATTCCTCAAATATGTTGTCTATGTGTGTTCACTTTTACACGTATATGAACATTTTTTTTTCGTTTTAGCATGCATTTCACGTGAAAGAAGAATGATGGACGCATCAAATCTGCTTCATACCCTCAATAATAATCAAGATATGCTTGTGTTTTTTTAGTCCTGTTTGTAATGCCCATATAAGAGGAGCCTTAAAAAAGCATGTCTTATCAATGACGTCACCGAAAACTGAAACTAAATTTAGAGATTATATTTTACTGAATAATTTGAAAATAGCGTACCTGTGACAAAAATAATAAATTCACACACGGCTCTGTTTCCGGCGGCGTCGTCGAAAGTATAAAAGAGACCTCTATATAAGCCTGCTGGCAAGAATACCCCCGGAACGATCGAAGAAGGCTGACTGGATAAAGGAACAGAGACTCCATTATCAACAGCGGTGGGTATATTCCATGTGACTGGGTCGCCAGGGTTGCCAGCCTTAGCTACCACAGAAAATGGACAATCGGATATGACTGGTGGAACATGATCCTCTGTAAAGGCAAATGAAGAAGAAGAAAAAAAAATGTATCAACAAAGGTGCGTTAAGGAAAACTTGTATCTCTAAAAAATAAATCTTGAAAATTTATAATGACGGAACAATTAAACGATTATTTAGAAAATGGTATAAATCAATTTTCCTCTGGAGCTCATCTTATGTATTCCAAATTAATTAAGCATTAATTTTGATTTTATAAATACTTCGAAATCTAAATTACGGCCAATTCATCAATAAAGAAATTACTCTATTATCAATAAGGGGATAAATTTTTCACCCGTGAAAATTCTAATGACCGATTGTACACCGTGACCAAGAATATGATGTAGGGTTGATATGAGAATGTTATGTTCCTGATGTTCATGTTATTTCACACTAATTGTACGCATATTGTATTTAAGCCGTGGCTCTATGTACATTGTTTGTTTGCTGTCTACAAAATAGAGTGTATATGGCCTATGAACACAGCACCTGGCTGGTGAGGATGTTCCACTTACGATCGGCATATCAAATATAATTGAATAATAAATATTTATTTTAATACACGGATCTTGACTGCAGTACAAACCGGTAGCTGTTAAGATGACATTAAAGTCGCACGTGGCTTGCAACCCAACGTCATCGGTTGCAGTATAGACCACGTGTGATATCCCGACACCAAAGACATCTTCAGGAGACCTTGTCGAGTCCACATTGGGTTGACCATCATTATCCAATGCAGTAGGTGGTGTCCATGTCGCTGTAGAATTTTCCTGTCCGATGGGTAGTTGAACGGTCACAGTCGAAGGACAGTTCGAAAAGACAGGTGACGTGGTATCGGCTGTGCATGGTGGAGAATGATTAAAATTACTCATTACGATTTGTCAGTTATCTTCTCTCAATCGCCACTGGAATCAGAACAATTTACGTTCGATAACACACCCCTCTCAATCTGATAGTTTTCATCATATTGCTACATCAAATCCTATTTACCACACAGGATTTAGGCTTATTGCCATTCCAACATATTTGGTTGGTCTACATCTAAAAGATCTAGGCTCTGTTGAATTCACTGGGCTCGGGTCGGGCTATAAGGTCTTTGAACAATACAGATTGATTGGTGTTTCAAAAACATTAAGATGTGTTGGAGGGTTAGTTTATAGTACACTACCACAAAAAAGAAGACTTTTAGACTTTAAATTATTGTGTTTCATTGGGTATTAAACTGACTTAATAACAAATCAAGATAAAGGATATTGGGTGATACATATTCTGCCATTGCAACGAAGTTATTAAAAAAAAAAAATTCTCTCTCTCTCCTTCAATTGAAAGTAGTATAAGCCCTAATAAAACTAAGTCACATTGGGAAAACATGAAGCTGTCGCAGATTATTGCTAGTTTTTAGCTAACCTGTTGGGAAAACTCCGACGCTGAACACACAAAATGTAGTTTGACTCAGGCTGTCTGTAGCATTATATACAACCTGAGTGTTTCCCGGATTGAAAGCCTCTCCAGGATTATGATTACTGGTGAGGTTAACCGTGTCGACATCGTCTGAGGCGATAGGTAATGTCCAGGTGACATTGACCGAGGTCATCCCGTTTGGAAGAATCACTACCAAGTCTTCTGGACAATTATCGATAAATGGCGCTAGATCTAGACAACAACAACAAAAACAACAACGATGTTAAAGCTAAAGACCAGTTATGGTCATATAATTGCATTGTGAAAGAAACGTTGTGAAATCGATCAGAAAAGGTTGATCATCTAGCATAGATGTACTGCAAGGTTCTGAAATCATCAAAATGATAAGAAATTTGGCCAAGTCTTCATAAAGTTAGAAGCACTGTACACAGAAAGATGTATATGGGACTACACAGAAAGATGTATATGGGACTACACAAACGTGCGTGACACGTGCATTTCATATCTCTCAACAGGCAAGAGATACACTAATTTACCAAATATATCAATTAGTAGGAGGTTTCCCGTCAAAATTGTTATCATCATGTAATATTAAAAACATATTCTTTCACATGATTGGTAATAAGAGCTTCCATTTCATTTTTTGAAATTGGGGCGTTTCCAATACTGGTCTTTACCTTTAAAATAATAATAATAGTACTACTATTGCAACTACTACTACTACGACAACTATTGCTGCTACTACTACTTCTAGTACTTCTACTACTACTTCTACTACTACTACTACTACAACTACTACTACTACTAATGACAATAATAATAATAGTAATAATAATAATAATAATAGTAGTATTAATAACTCTTATAGTAATACTGATAGTAATGATCATAATTTTAATTATATAGAAAATGATATTGATAATGATAATAATAATGATCATAATAACAATAATAACAATAATAATAAGAATTTAAATTATATAAATATTTATATTAATAACGATTATAATAATGATAATGATAACAATAATAATAATATAATTTCGTTTAAAGAGGATGTCCCAAGAGCATCAATAACGTTCTTTTGGAGGGCCCTACTATTACTTTTATCCCAACTGAGCGTTTAAAGTACACTAAAACTTCGGATCAACGACAATTCGAAGCCAAGACATACGACAAAAATAACAACGAAGACATTCACCTCCAGCCGCCATCTCGCATGTGTAAACGTCAGGAGAAACTGGATCAAAGTTACATGTATTCCCATCGGGACAAGGTGTGCAACTACAGACGTCAGTTCCCTCTAAGAAAAGAAACGGAATGACAAACGAGTGACTTTTTGCTTCTTTTTGTTAGTACACGTATATCTTTGTTTGCGGTCTATACAATTGAGACACGGTTTATATAAGAGAGGTCAATATTTGATGCCTCTCTCCGAATTTATGACAGGGGGCGTAACAGTTCATTGCAAATGCTGAACTTGAAATTTAAAAAATATATATAAAAAGGGGAAAACACTGTTCATTTCACTCTTCTTTCATTTCTCCAGTCATGGAGAGTTGTGGAATTCCGCAGATCCATCTTCAAGAAAGATAGATAATGATTTCTTCATTAGTATTTTTTTGTATACTCAAATTCTAAATTAATTCCAATCAAAGTTTAATATCTTACAAGGAATGATGTTGTAATATATGCCATGTAAATATGTATATAAAACTTTAGGTATGTCAAGTGTGTATCTATTTTGAGCCAAAGGGGCGGCTTTATACTTTGTTTATGAGCTTCCGAAATAAGGCTATTTAAAAAAAATAACTGTCTAAAAAGAAATGATCACATTTCACCTCATTTAAAACAGATTATCATATATACATGTAATACGATATGACAGATATTCAACAGTATTTTGTCCACATTCGTTATTCTTAAATTTCATATTTAGTTATTCGCTTAAAATACAAAAACCCATTAAAAGAAATCAAGGTTACAAAATGGATTATATCATGATATAACAAATGTAAAGATATTCATACAAACGAGAGATGCAACACCTTAAAGTGACTCGGTAACATTGTTGAAGGTTGATGAAAAAAATTGCTTATTTTTGTATAAAATGTTACTTACTATATTCCTTCTACTGTACTAACCCTCTAAAATGCAAAAAATCCTGAAAAAATTCTCAAACCACGAAGATATCTATGTTTTTCTTTGAATGCGTCGATGTACGACACCCTCTAATAGTGATTAACAGTAAATTCTCCCAACCATTTTTGTATTTTCCCAACCGTTTTTCCATGAAAAAAAGACATAAAACAGGCTATAAAAAAAAATCTGTCAACACTTAAATGGAATGTAGAGCCATTTTATTACTTTGTGACGGTTTACATTCACCTAAAATGTAATTAAATTGTAATAATATAGTTGGGAGAATTAAGGAATCGATCAGATCAGTTTTTCCCAATTTGTTTCCGATTTCCCGAATATTATCTGTTATCCCTTATACAGATCAATTATCTTATTTTCTCCATTATCCTAAAGGTTTATGTCATCATCCATTTCACCACATAATGCATTCCATTTTGCTTTTAGGTTTGTATATTCTAAAGAATATCTTCTATCCAGACATGCTCTATCTATCCTCCAAATCTACTCATTCCTGTTTGTTGTTAACAAATAGGGCTACCATCACTGTTGGTGGAAATATGCTACCCTGGATATATGTCATAAATACATAAATAATATCGCGCATGTATCTATTTTAGAAAAAAAATACGCTTCTTGATTGAAAAATGTGAAAATAATGTTTACATTTCATTCAGCCCACAACTGAGAAGCATTCATTTTCTGTAAAGAGATGTTAAATAGACCAACCCCACCCTAAAACGAGAGGGAGGAAAATAATATTCCTGAGTGTTATGATTATGACATAAAAGAGGCAATCGTGATAAGCAACTTTGAAATAAGTCACAGAATAAACTTGAAACGTTCATGAAAAGCAATAGAAAAGATGGACTTTTGACCATAAACAGTTGCATACGGAATACGAAAATACTCACGTGTAATTGTGAGAGGTATCACACATTCAGATACGAATCCTTGGACGTTGGTAAACATGTAGACCACGTGATATGTACCCACATCGAACGTGTCTCGAGGAGTGTGCGTTGAAAGGAAGGTCACCATTGTCTGGGTGACAAAGGGCGGTTCAAAGGGAAGACTGCAGTTTACATTATCAAACGTTTCATAGACTTTGGGAGTGCGACTGGTAGGACATCGAATGATATCAGGCCCCGCCCTGCCGTCATCAGCTTGAACAAAAATAGAAAGAAATCATGGGTCATAAATGTTTGCCTGTTTTTGTATACATTATATTTTGAGTATATATATATATATATATATATGGCGATGACTTTTTATTCCATTTACGATATCGAGGAGTCTTAACGGGAAGATGTATTTTCATAATTTATGCTTCACCCCCTAGCCCCCCCCCCCCCCCCACCAAAAAAGAAGTAAAAATGCTCTTCAGTGTTTGACTCATGCTGCAAACATGTATATGAATGACATGATTAAAGGTAATACAAAGTTTTGGGAAATTTTGAAAATTGGGTTGATGGTGAATCTTTACAATTTTGATATATTTAGGTGCCCCTGTGGAGGTATTATAAGCACTGAAAAAATTAGTCCCTAAAACACTTCTGTTTTCGAGAAAAATTGAATATAAAAATTTACCGGTGCTCCCGGTAAATTTTGATAAATTTAAAATAGCGCCTATGGCCGTGCAATGGTAGCTGCGACCATGAAAATCTCAGAATATGTAGTTGTGATATATAATTTCCAAACGGGATTAGCTAATCGGTCGATTTTAGACAAGAAACATTGTTTCATAGCTAAATTAATATCTTGACCTTGAGAGGGAGCTATACAACATAAAGAGTTTATTATTTATAATTTCATTACTTTAGACTTGATTTCAACCGCGACAACGATCAATAAATATTGTAGGAACGCATATGCTTCCAATATGCTAATTTGAACCAAATTTATGACCCCATACCAATACTTTGTAATACCTACAAGTGGAATGTTCTGGAATACACTGTATATTACATTTATGATTTACTGAGACAGAACATGTCTCCAAATATAGTCACTCTAATAAACCCATAAACTTTGACAGAATGAAGTCACATAATAAGGGGTAGTCCACTCTGATATTAGGTTGGTTTTTAATATAAGCAAAATAATGAGAGAAACGTGTCAGATTGAGCAATTTCGATCAAAAATATTTGAAGTTGTGATTAATCAAACACAAATTGGCAACTCTGTGACATATCTTGATCAAGAGATCCCCTCCAATTTGCCCTGTACTAAAAGAAGATTTTAAATCATGCATGCACCCAAGGTATGGTTATTGCAAATATTTTTATATATATATATGTATATATATATATATATATATATATATATATATATATATATTTATATTTATATTTCGACATCAATAACGAATAAAACGAAAGTTTATGAAATTTTTATGTGCACAGTAAATTTGAGGGGAGCTCGCAAGATACGTCAAAGTGTTGCCAATTTGTGTTTGATTGATCGCAAATTCAAAAATTCATAACTTTCTTATTTTCAATCTGAATTTGCTCAAATTTCATTGACCTGTTTCTCTCGCTTCTCTGCTTCTACGTACTGAAACTAACTTAATAGGGACTTTTGGATTTGCGTGGACTGCTACGTGTGCCGTCCTTTTATGGCACTGCCAGTGGCTTAAAAGGACGTCACACGTAGCAGTCTACGTTGTCGTCGTGCAAATCTAAAAGTCCCTAATGTCATGGTGGACTTTCCCTTTAATCTATTTGTTTACAAACAAATCATTTGTTCAAGATCATGTAAGAACACACTATTAAACATCTTTACCTGTTGACAAGCATGATCTCTAAGGTAGCTGAGCTATGCGGCTGGCATGCTGAAATTTACCATTCTCTCGTTAATATTCCATGTTCGTAATGTAATCAAATAGGCCATTTTCGTAATGTAACCAAATTTAATGCATAAGTCTTTGTGTAGTGCCTCAATACAAATTATTTCATTCACCTGATAAGAATAATAGTATTTCAATAGACAGAATCCGACCTGCATACATAATTTGTTGCCAGGTTGGACAAACATGATGGCTTGGCCTACCTAGCAACACTTAATATATGCAGTTGCATTCTGACTATTGAAATACTATTATTCCTAACAGGTGCATGAAATAATTTGTATTGAGGCACTTCACAAACACTTATGCATTAAATTTGGTTACATTACGAAAGTGGTCTATTAAATGCACAAATCTTTGTTAAATGCCTCGTTACAAATTATTTCATTCACCTGTTGCAAAATATTTGTTTTTTCAAAAGTGAGAATACGAATTACATAAATGCCGCGTTGTTTGAAGCAATTCGCGTTCTGACTATTGAAAAACAATTATTGTTAACAGGTGCATGAAATAATTTGTAACAGGGCATTTAACAAAGAGCTATGCATTAACTTGGCTTACATTACAAAATGATCTAATGCACTGATACCTTTTATTACGCATTTAGGAATCGGGCGGGCATTCGCAACAGGTAAATGAAATAACTTTTGTCGAGACACTTCTTTATTAAAGACGTAAGCATAAAGTTTGGTAATAATTACAAAAATAACAAATTCGAATAACCTAGCAAAGTGCATTTTTGCTTGCTCATAGATAAAGATAACCCAAACATGCCCAAAAGTTTTTGGGTACAGGTTGTACAAATTCGGTAATTTGAATTCGCCTGAAATGAAGTCGAATGACCTAATGATGAAAATGCTTTTACCATATAGAAAAGATTTGTGTAATATATATATCTATATATATAAAGATATGAGGAGGTAACAAAATATATGTATCATCAACGTGCCGAATTAAATGAACTCGAAAATAAATCCTACAGAGTGTGATGTTAAAGAAAGACTTACCCGTGATGGTGACATAGAAAAAACATGTCGCTGAAACGCCCCCGTCGTAATTAGCGGTGAAGACCACTGCATGCCTGCCCACACTAAACAATGCTCCTGAAGCAGGTGAGGTTTGTCTGCCAGACGGGCTGCCATCAGGTGTTGGATCCGTCCAAGAAACTGCTAACTCATTCTGTCCAGCCATCACGCTCATTGTGATGTCATCCGGGCATGTTACTGTTCCATTCAAAACAAAACAAAATATTTATTTAAAAAAGGGATGAAAACTCTCCCGCATATGTTGGTAATGGGCGAAACCGACGAATTAATATCTTGTAATCATTCAACTCGGTTTGTGTCGAACAGATAATGCGCTTATTCCAGTCATATATAAAAAAATATATATATATAACAAAAATAGGCTTACATGCTGCATCATACATAGTAAGTCCTAAATGAACTAATGTTGGCCCTTATTTGCATGGAAAGGAATCCCTCCCCTGCACCCCTACCGTAAACACCAAGCCTCCGTTTCACAACACGATGGTATGAAGCCAAGATCCCATTGAAACGCTTTTATTTCAATTAACACGCGACTCGATTGGATGTTAGTAAATTTGTTCAACGATGGCCAACCGTCTAATTAATCCGAAACTACTCTCTTCTTATATGGACCCACTCTAGTAGAATGGATTTTCTAAGTGTATATAACATAATTACTTTTTTCCTGAATACTAAGATACTGCTATGCTACTCCTACCTGGTGTTATTGTAACTTTCGTAGTTCTTAATAAGGGGTTACGTTGGTTCAGTCGAGATCGCTTTGTCTACATTTTGAATCACATATGAATAGTACAGACATTGAACTGAGTGGAACAATTTTCGGGTGAAAATATATCCGAATTCCCTTTGAAATGTGGATTCTATCATTTTACTCACTTCCCCTTATGATACTGCACTCCATGATTTAAACAAGGAAAAGAAGTATATTAAAGCAAAAAACATGTCAGATAAGAATAATGAAGCGAATTGAAAGAATCATCAAAATTCTTACCGTTTTGGGCCTTCACTGCTGGAGAGAGCAAAACAAAGAAAAGCATTAGTACTGTATCAAACCACAACATTTTCAATTGTTTTTAAACTAAAAGTATCCTGAAGTTATAAGAAGTAATGCAATAGTCCGTTTATTTCATGTTTTCCGAAAACGTGAGGTGAAAATGATTCCGTCTCTCTGCTCAACTGATCTTTGACTCAAAGCAAGAAATCATCACTCACTCTCTTCCTCTCACTCCGTCTGCTTGACCTTTTCCTTTGTATGGTTTTCCAAAGAAAATATCTATATTTGTCTTTTTTGTTGTTGATAAGAATAGGTGTGGTTGAAAGGCATTGTGTGCGTGACGACAGTTCGTTGAATAAACATATTCAAAATGGCAATTCAGAGTATGGAGAATGACATCATACTTTACCCGGTCTACAAAAGCTTAAAGATCAAATTTTACAAAAAGATAGTTTTACCATCGATTTCCAAATTTTTTCTTCCTTTTTTACGTTTAGTCTCTTCTTTCCCGTCTCTCATCATGTTTATATTAGAATACGAATATTTATCCTATCCTACGTACCATAGGAGCCTAACTAATTACTACATTCTGATTTTCAGAACCCTTTACCGAATGGTCGTACATTTTGTGCTGCACAAAGGTTCAATCAGTTTAATTTTGGCCATTCTAAGTATTGGTTCATTGATGAAGACAAATGCTCATATACCTGTTACAGCTCATTGTATGTATGTTATCCCAAAGAAAGAAGAAAATGTCAGTCAGTCACTCAATAGTGTTTGGCAGGGAAGTCTAGAAAGTAAACGGGTTTCCTTGCATAACTGGAATACTAGGACACTGCTAACGTTTATATTTCACAGATAGGACATACATGACATATTCTTAATTCCTGCAAAGTTCTACAAAATTTGATGTTGGCTGCAAAAGGGACATAGTATCTTTGATGTGGGTTTATTCGAGATTGAGGGAAGTAAGAGACAACTGGTTAAAAAAATAAAAAATAAGAAGGCTGAAAAGCAAATCGACTCTATATTCTTTCCAACGGGTTTTTTTTTTTTTGGGGGGGGGGGTGTTTGTGTCAAGGGCGGTTCCTAAATAAATCTTCGAGGACAAACTATTCATTAGAGTAGTTTGAATTCCCCACTTTCAAACAATACGTTGTTGTTATACTATAAAAGGTTATTACGCGGGGAAAGAACACTGTGAAGTGCAGGATTGCAGCAGCGATTCTTACCAGAACTTCTCTCTCTCTCTCTCTATCTCTATCTCTCTCTCTCTCTCTCTCTCTCTTTATCTCTATCTCTCTTTCTCTCTCTCTCTTTCTCTCTCTCCCTCTCTCTCTATCACTCTCACTCTCTTACTCCCCGCTCTTTCTCCGCATCCTCATTCTCAATAGTTTCGGATATCTTCTTGGCAAATCTCAAGATTTTCAAGACATTTTGTACGTGAGAATCCCACAACAAACCGTTAAAAGATTGCTTCATACATTGATAAATCGTAACTGACTCAGATACAAATCTCCAGGAAAAATATCATTGTGACTTGACAGAAACTGCGCTCTCTAGCTTGTTATCCAACGGAAATTGTTTTGTTTCTTGAGACAAGTTTTGTGGGTAGTTACCATGTGGACCCCTATGAAACACCATTCGTACTGATCAGGATGGTCCATACCACAAGTGGTATACAAAAAATAAAATAGAATAAAAATAGGGTAATAACTATATATAAGGAGACATATCAGACATGGTATGAATAGTCAGATTTAGGCTCTGATATTACTGCATGATCACAGAAAGCAATAACATGAATATAACCCCATGTGCTCCAGACCCACAGAAAAGACCGACACCAAAACAACAGCAAACCGAACAAAAATTCCATTATCAGGACTGCTTTGGATTTATTTATCTTTCTCCTTCTTTAACAAAAAATGAAGGTCTGACTCTGTTCCTTCTTTACAAATAACTTTTAACCAGACTTGGAAATAATCCATTCTTTCTCTTTTTGTTTCCTTTTTTGTTTGTTTTGTTCTGTATCCGATTTATATGTAGGTCAATAGTAATAGTATTTATTTAGTAAGGGAGGAGTCCAGTATTGTATTACGTACAGTATTTGATCATTTCGGGGGGTGGGCTTCTAGGCTGTTTATACATATATCTAAGCAAATATCAAATACAGGTCAAATTGAAATACATACAAATTATATAAACTATTTACATATATATCAATTATTGAGGGATGCAAAACTTATTTTACAAACATTAAAAACAGCCAACTAATAAATATCTAGAAACAGTGATTATTTACCAAATATCAAGAAAATTATTAAACCATGCAGTAATACCGCAATAGTTCGCAGATATTAAATTGATGATTTGTAAACGGGGTAATAAGACTACATTATTTTTCTGTAAAGAATTTATTTGCTATAAAGATTATTTGCTATATCAGTTTAATTCTGCGTTAAGATTTGTCTCTTTGATTGCAGTAACGAAAAGTAGGCTATCGCCTGCATGATTCTGCATACCAGACATGTGATGTCATGTGATTTACATCACCAAGAAATATTTTGAACTGCTTGCGATGCATTTGAAATTTTGTATTGGAATCCTGTTTCTCGTTCATAAGCGAATTGTATAAGCTATTTTAGTATGTCAAGGTTGAAAAACAAACTTGGATTTAGAAGGTGTTTTTCTTTATTTTCATTTTTAGACAAAACGAGAGATGAGATTTTTTTTCTTCTTTTCATCACGCAAATGCATTCCACAATAAATTGCTTTCACACGAAAACACCAATACAGGATACTGTGCAAATAGACCATGCAATAAGAAGGGAAAAGGGTGGAATGAAATGAAACACACGCCCTTCTTTCTGTACAAAAGAGCGCGAACAAGCACTGGAAACAATTTCTTTCTACCGATTGTACCTGATTGATTTGATATAGAATGTGCTAAAATTTATTTTCCAGTGTGATGTTTCCTCAAAACAATTATAAACAGACATAAAAATGACTCACCAGTTTAAGGATGTTTGTTTTTACGCTTTCAATATTTAATCATTAGGACATGAACATGGTTTTACCCTTTCTTATGTATGAAGGGCGCGTAAAAGCACTATACGTGTATATTGAAATGTTGCACCTGATTTTAACTAATCCAAAAATGGAAAAAAATCAGTTTCCCAGTGTGATATTTACCCAGAATTCACTTTTTTTGGAAACATATGTATATTTCGGTATCTCATCATTTACACTATATAGAACTTAAAACGTTCTCCTACAACTGAGTAGATATTTAACTGGAACTTATAAACTGATATTTCATTCATGTTTTTATCTGCCTTTGCTAAATGTGTTCTTTAGAATTTGACATGGTTAACAAAATTACTTTCATTGTTTATAAATCTGTAAGCACAATCGTAAGCACAATCTTCCCTGCCTGTCTTAGACTTAGGCGAAATTAATAACGTTTTGAAATTAAAATTATACCATATGTTAGCATGTTTGAAGAAGGGGTAAGTGGAGGGTGGATTTTCAGCCACATTTCAATTAGTTTACATGTTAGAGATTCATGGTTGTGTCAAATAATAATGGTGGGACCACTCATCAGAATACTCTCGGAGGCATTAAAAAGACGTTACTGCTCGGTACAGTGTTATATTCAGCAAATGGTTTGGGGGCGACCCCCTCTCCCCCATTCACGCATACCTGGGCCCCGTTTCATGAAAGTTATTAGTAACAAGTGTGAAATTTATATTAGCAATTTACTTTCTCTCTCACTCACTCTCTCTCTCTCATCTCTTACTCATCTATTTGTTTGCTCTCATCTCCTATCTCTCTGTAGCCTCAAGCTCAGGACTAAAAACAGCTGGGGGGGGGGGTGGGCAAGATTGTGTGGGGCGGATTTAGGGAGTTTCATTATATTGCTACCTACCGGGTAGTCTATGTAAGAAGACATCTCAAGGCGGGAAATTTTGAAAGAAAGATAATTGGCTCCTAGGGAAACAAAGTTTTGGTGGGTTCTAGCTGTCGTTTATCATGGGAGCTTGGGAGAGTCAGTGATGATGGTGTGTTAAACGAACATGGAGGGGGTTGCTGGCATCAGTCATCAGCTTAGCTGCGCCAGTTGTCAGCGTTAGCCACAAAGATATATGTCCAATTCTGTACGATATCAAAATAATATTTCACTTTTGCCGGGTTTTTTAACCATATAAATGTATTTTCAAACCGTTTAAATAAGTGTTCAGTTTGCTTTGACTTCCCTATTCACTATCTACAGTCCCATC